CTCTCTGCTCCAATCCCCGTTGTCCCAGCAGGTCGCTCACACGGGAGTGGCAGTGGCGGGGGACATGGAGTGCAACAGCAGCTGCTCTCCACCCAACCCACCCACAGCTAAGTATCCGCCCTCACTTTCTCCTCCCAATCTCTCTCGTGTTCCTTTGCTTTCCACGTTCATCCTTGCTGCATGTCCTGTTTTCTTGTCTCTTCAAATGCATGCTTCTGGTTGAACCAAAGCATCAAGCCACAGACCCCTTTTCTTGGGTAAATTCGCCCAGGTATTACAGGTATGCTCTCAGGTCTGCAGGTAAGCCTCCCAGGTGTGTATTCCCCTTGGGTCTGTGGCTTGTAGCTGAGGCTGCACCAGTGGCCCCCTTCTCTGCTCTCACCTGCCATCCCACCCCACCCCACCCATGCACTGCTCTCACATTTCTACCCCTAGCCGCATACTCACTTCTCTTCACTTCTCTCCTTTCCATTGTGGGGAGGGGCGTGGGGGTCAACACCGCCGCTCCCTCGCGCTCCTCCCCTGTGGCCGTGCAGGTGGCAGTGGTGGGAGGGGAGGGGGGCAGCACTCCACTCGGCTGGGGTGGGAAGGGAGAGTATCGGGATTGGGTCGTCTGGAACAAGGTGAGCCTCTTTTCCCTCTTTCCCTCATGCTGCTGCCTTGTTTCTCTAGCTGCTCGTTTCACTTACTTGCTCCCTCCTTGCTTTCAGGCTTCTGCCTGCCCTTCTCCCCATTCTCACTACTGTCCCTTGCTCCCTTGCCTCCCTCCCTCTCCCCTCCCTCCCAGTGCATTGAAGGATGTAGCAGGGAGGCAAGGGAGCAGCAGCAGGGCAGTAGCGGAGGGGAAGGCAGGGGCAGCGGCAGCAGCAGAGGAAGCAGAGTAGCAGACCGGCAGCAGCAGTAGCAGCAGCAGAAGCGGCAGCAGCAGCAGTAGGGGCTGGAGGGCAGGCTGGGTTAGATTTAGCTGAGATATGGTACCAGGTGGTATGGTAACAGGTGAGGTGTGGTAACAGGTGAGGTGTGGTAAGCTGATCCCCTCCTCTCTCTCTTCTGCCTCTTCTCTCCTGCAGGCTGAAGGTGGGAGCACTGGAGCAAGGGCGGGAGAGTGGAGTGCACCGTCTCACTCACCTCCTCTTCTCTCCCTTTTTCTTTCCTCCCAGCTGCACCCGGCCTGGACTTAAGAGGAGTTCCTCCCTCTTCTAATCACCCCTCCTTTCTCTCCACTTCCCAGCAGCACCCGGCCTGGACCACAGAGGAGTCTCGTTTTCCCTTAACCCCCCTTCTCTCTCCACTTCCCAGCAGCCTCAGCATCATGGCTCTCTGCACGGCTGTGGTAGGTACAGGTGAGGAGGCATGGGGGCGAAGTGTGGGGTGGGTGGGTGGGGGGCATGGGAGCAAGCGGGGAGTTCACTTTCTGAGGGGCAGCATTCTCAGGGGCTGTGCCTTGTGGGGTGGTGTGTGGTGGTGGGGTGTGGTGGGTGGAATCTGCGCGGCACGGCACTCGGTGCTCAAGTAACCGAACTGGCGTTTAAGGCTTAATGGACACCGTCAGAGCCGACCGGCCGGCGGCTCTGGTTCGCGTCAGCTCTAGCTACGTCAGGGGTGGAATTTGAGTCTTGGGCTGGAAGCAATTTTCCACTACCACACTTCTCCCCACCAGGCGCCGCCTCTAGGGGTGCTGTTTCCTTAAGAAAGTGGGCTTTCTGCTGCTCCTACTGCTGGCAAGTGAAGGTGGGGATGGGCTGGGTTATAGAGTGAGAGAGAAGGGGGCTGAATCCCCTTGGATGGGTGAGTGAGAGAGAAGGGGGCTGAATCCCCTTGGATGGGTGAGTGAGAGAGAAGGGGGCTGAATCCCCTTGGATGGGTGAGTGGGAGAGAAGGGGTTGAAATCTCTTGGGTGGGTGAGTGGGAGAGAAGGGGCTGAAACCCCTTGGGTGGGTGAGTGGGAGAGAAGGGGCTGAAACCCCTTGGGTGGGTGAGTGGGAGAGAAGGGGCTGAAACCCCTTGGGTGGGTGAGTGGGAGAGAAGGGGCTGAAACCCCTTGGGTGGGTGAGTGGGAGAGAAAGGGTTGAATTCCCTCAAGTGAATGAGTGGAAGGAGAGGGGGTCAAATCCTTCTTGGGTGGGTGAGTCTGCTGCTTCCCTGAAACAGCGGGCTGCCTGCTGCTCCTACCGCTGGCAGGTAATGGTGGGTGGGTAGTGACTGGGAGGTGGTGGGTGGGTAGTGACTGGGAGGTGGTGGGTGGGCTCTGTTTCCCTGAGGCAGCGGATTGCTGCTCCTACTGCTGGCACATATTGGTGGGGAGGTGGTGGTTGGCGAAAGGTAATGGCGGTGAGGAGGGGCTGAAACCCCTTGGGTGGGTGAGTGTGAGGGAAGTGGCTGAAACCCCTTGGGTGGGTGAGTGGGAGAGAAAAGGCCGAAACCCCTTGGGTGGTTGAGTAGAAGAAAGGGGCCGAAATCCCTTGGGTGGGTGAGTGGGAGAGAAGTGTGTTGAAACTCCTTGGGTGGGTGAGTGCGAAGAGAAGGGGTCGAAACTCCTTGGGTGGGTGAGTGGGGACTGATTCCCCCAAAGTGGGTGGGTGTGAGCGAGTGATTGGCCTGACTTTCGTGACAGTCGGTGGAAGGGAAGGGTGCTGAAGCTTTTAGTGTGGTGTGATATAGTGTGGAGTGCTATAGTGTGGTGTGCTATATTGTGGTGTGGTGTGCTATAGTGTTGTGTGCTATAGTGTGGGCTATAGTGTGGTGTGCTATAGTGTGGTGTGCTTTAGTGTAATGTGCTATAGTGCCGTGTGCTATATTGTGGTGTGCTATATTGTGGTGTGTTGTAGTGTTGTATACAATAGAGTGGTGTGCTGTATTGTGGTATGATATAATGTTGCATGCTATAGTGTGGTATGCTGTAGTGTGGTATGCTGTAGTGTGGTATGATGTAGTTTGGTCTCCTATAGTTTTGTATGCTGTAGTGCTGTATGCAGTAGAGTGGTATGCTGTATTGTGATATGCTATTGTGCGGTATGTTATAGTGTGGTATGCTATAGTGTGGCTTGCTGTTGTGTGGTATGCTATAGTGTGGTTTGCTGTTGTGTGGTATGCTATAGTGCGATTTCTTGTTCAGTGGTGTGGCATGCCATGGTGTGGCATGCCATGGTGTGGCATGCGATGGTGTGGCATGCGATGGTGTGGCATGACATGGTGTGGCATGCGATGGTGTGGCATGACATGGTGTGGCATGCGATGGTGTGGCATGACATGGTGTGGCATGCGATGGTGTGGCATGACATGGTGTGGCATGCAATGGTGTGGCATGCGATGGTGTGGCATGCAATGGTGTGGCATGACATGGTGTGGCATGCAATGGTGTGGCATGACATTGTGCGTGTCACTTGCAGGCGGGTCAGCAGTGGGAGGCGGAGCACGATGGAAGGCAAGCAAGGCTGAACCAGGAAGGAACAGAAAAGGGGTGGATGAGTGGATGCGTATGGCATATGGAGGAGTGGATGCGTATGGCATATGGAGGAGTGGATGCGTATGGCATATGGAGATCGCTCTGCCTCATCCGGCAATGCTGAGGAGGGCTTTCTTTTTTATCGCATGGGATCTGATTCTGTACGGAGCTTCGGGAATGAAGGAATCAGATCCTTGCCACTAGTGTACATTTGTGTTGTTGGATAAGCTGTCTTATTTACCATAACCATCTCATCGGTACCCTCTCCTGCCCTCCTTGCCCAGTAAGCTTGATACCGTATGTTGCAGTATGGTGACTTAGAGCGCCTCATAAACCACCCCCTTATACCTGAACGTGGCATGTAGCTAAGTATCCTACTGTATTGTTTAGTACGATATGATTATATGGACACAATTGGTTGTGCTGACTTCTGTTCTCACTTCCATGGTTGGAGTCAGGGTTTCTGGATCTTGAACCTAACCTGATTCCCTTGACTTAAAACCATCAGCTAGGCACAGATGATGAAAGTGAGAAAGGATTGGCTGGGAGATGCAAGAGATTCGGGAATTGCAGGGCTTGGTCAAATCAAAGCTGAAGGGCTTGGAGGAGAGAGAATATGGAAATGCGAAGTTGGGAGATATGAACTACAGTGTACTCCAGGTTCTCTGTAAAACCTCACTGGCGAGGACAAGCGTGAGGTTATCGTGTGAGCGAAATCCGGCTTCACGCATTTTCGCGAAAAAGGCAAAAGCATATCCCCAACTTTTCTACGGCAACCAATCACTGCCTGTCTTTATACCACACTTTGTTCCTCTCGAGTTTGTGGCTCTCGTAGCCCCGTTTCACAACCTGGCAGGACGGTCATCCTTGGCGGACCCCAAGGCTATGAAGACCAGAATTTTTGCTTCGGCAACCTCAAAGCCTGCCCTGTCACTGGCTTACCTGGCCCTCCGTAGCAGCGGCTTGCCAAACCTCCGCAAATCACATGGACGCCCAAGCCTGTCTGAGTTTGTCAGTAGGGGCAGTGACGGAGCAGGCCAGTAGGTCCGACATGGATTCTTCTCCCGAGGTGACGAGATTAGGGTTTGATGCAGCAGCCTGCCGCCATGGATTTTACCTCGCTGGCCTTTTCCATAACCACCACCCAGTCTGCGCCTTTCTGTTGGGGGAACCCTCTGCATTCTGTGGCTCATGTTGATTTAGCTCTGGCTCGGAGGAGGTTACAGTGACCTAGACTCGAGGCAACGCTGGTCCTGGCGTGGTCCTGGGACCTCTGCAGCGCTGAACGCTCAACCTTCGCGCTCCCCTCACGCTGTGGAACCTTGCTGATTTTCTATGAGGCCATGGTTCACAAAACGTCTTTCCTAATTTTCCTTCCTTTTAGTCACTGCTCGCGGCTTAGCTGCTGTGGGGTTCAGCGATGGTCGCGTCTGCGATAAGCGTGGAAGGTCCGATAGGCCTTGCGACGACAGTGCAGCAACCCAGCAGACCGCCACTCGCGGGCTCTTTCGCTAGTAACCAGCAGAGTTCAGTAGGACCGGGTAACGGGAAGAAGATGAATGGGGCAATGGAGGGAAACCAGGCGAACCAACCGCCGCCGTTTTTAATAAAGACGTACGATATGGTAGAAGACCCGACGACGGACCATGTAGTTTCGTGGAGTAGTGGTAACAACAGTTTCGTCGTGTGGAACCCGCCAGAGTTCGCCAGAGACCTCCTGCCCAAGTACTTTAAGCACAACAACTTCTCGAGCTTCGTCCGCCAATTAAACACTTACGTACGGCTTGCCTTCTCTTGCCTAGTCGTGCATTCGCCTTGGATTTCTTTAGTCTTCTGGTACGCTGCATCAAATACCTTGTTAACGTGTAAGCCCTTTTCCCGTCATCTTACCATTCTTCGTTCCAGGCCACGACAGTTTGTTGCCGTAGAGTGCTCCTGCTTTTTTAAGCCGTGCAGAGTGGTATTGGGACTCATAGACAGTTTGTTCATTGCCCTCCCCGCTTCGCTGATGTTACCCAGGGGTTTCGCAAGGTGGATCCAGACCGATGGGAGTTCGCCAACGAGGGTTTCCTGCGAGGCCAGCGACACCTCCTTCGCACAATCCAGCGTCGCAAGCCCGCGTCGCAGACGGGAGCCGCGGCAAACTCCTCGCTCCCCCACGGCCATTCTCACTCCCCCGCGTCGCTCCACGGCGCGCTCCCCGTCCCCGCGTCGCCGAGCCTAGTCGAGGTCGGCAAGTTCGGGCTAGAAGGCGAGGTGGAGAGATTAAAGCGCGACAAGAACGTTCTCATGCTGGAGCTGGTCCGGCTGCGGCAGCAGCAGCAGCAGCAGGCGAGCACGATGCAGGTGATGGAGCAGCGCGTGGCGATGAACGAGCAGCGGCAGCAGCACATGATGACGTTCCTCGCCAAGGCCGTTCAGAACCCCGCGTTTCTCGCGCAGCTCATGCAGCACCAGACGGACCACGCGAAGCGCACGCACGCGCACGCCGCCATGGGGCGCAAGAAGCGGCGCATCTCCAAGCAGGACGGCGGAAACTCCCCGCCGTCTGGGTCCTCCTCCCCCAGTCTGCACCCGGAGGGGCAGATCATCGCTTTCTCCCCCGCCGCAGCGGACCCGTCTATGTTCCTTCTAGAGCAGTTCTTTCCAGGTATGACCCACCCCGGTATGACCCACCCGGGCATGGGCCACCCGGGAATGCCGCACGCGGGCGCCTTGGGGGTCGACGCGTCGTTGGATCCTTTCCTCCACGATCTCGCCGCTGCCGCCGCCGCCGCAGGCTCGTCGCAACCGCTCCCCCCGCGCCCTTCCACTGTAACCCTCACGGAAATGAACGTTCCTCCTGAGGGGAGCTTTCCTCCCAGCTCTTCCTATCCTGCTACTGCTGCCGCTACCGCAGCTGCTGCGGCTGCTTCCACCGCTGCTGCCACCGCGCCTGCCGCTGCCCCTGCCACTGCCGCGGCTACCGCCGCTGCCACTGCCGCTGCAACTGCCGCCGCCGTTGCTGCTGCCGCTGCGGCCGCTTCTGCTGCGTCTGCTCCGTCAAGTGCAGCTGCTGCAGCAGCACCCACCGCCAGCGCTCATTCTCACCCGCACACTGCTGCTGCCTTAGTGGGAAGCACTGCAGCCGCCACTGCACCCGCAGCAGCGCCGCCAGCAATGCCGGTCCCCACCCCTCACCCTGGCATTCCTCGGCCGTTCCCCATGCCGTTCACCCCTCTCCCCATGACCTACCCCCCTTCCCACCCCACTGCTGCCGCCGCCGCCGCAGCAGCAGCAGCAGCAGCAGCAGCGACAGCGGCAGCAGCGGGAAGCGGGTACCCTGCTGCAGCGCCAATGGTGCCTACTCCCCCGGCTTTCCCCCCCGTGCTGCCCCCGCCCCCGCCTGGCATGGACCTGTCTCAGAGCCTGCTGGTGCATGGCGCTAAGATCAGCCCTCTAGGCATGCCGACCCCCTACAGCGCTGCTACTGCCCCCATGCTGCACCCATACCTCCCCGTTCACGCCTCTGCCCCTGCCAACGCGTCTGCTAGCACTACTGCCACTCCCTCTGTTAGTCTCGCTGCCAATGCCCCGCTCGCTGCCAGCGTTAGCGCCACAGGCTCGGCTGCCTCTCTCGCCCACACTGGCCCTGCTTCTGCGGCTGTATCTGGGGCGGGTGTTTCTGCTCCGGTTGTTGAGGCAAAGGTGCCGGTGGCCTTGGCTGTCCCTAGTGTAGCGACAGGAGAGGCGTCAGGGGCGGGGGAAGGCAGCAGCGCAGCAGGCGGGGCAGTGTCGAGTGGGAAAGCGCGTGGAGACGTTGTGGGGGCAGGGGAGATGGCGGGAGAAGCAGGAGTGGTTGGGGGAGGAGGGGTTGGGGGGGGAGTGGGAGGAGAGGGTATTGGGGAAGGCATAGGGGAGGGGGATGGGTTGGATTTGGAAGGCACAGGGGGCTTTAATGATTCCTTCTGGCAGCAGTTTCTCAGTGTGGCGCCGGGGGAGGGGGAGGGGGAAGGGGAGGGCGGAGGGGAGGGGGATGGGGAGGGCGGTGTGGGGGATTTGAATGTGGATGAGCTGGCAAGGGGGGTAGAGGGGTCTCTGGAGGAAGAACAAGGAAGGTAATGGCATGCGCACGGCGCAGTGCTTCTGTGTACCTTGTGTATTGAGTGAGTGCGTGTGACAGAAGGATGGATTGGGGCGTGTTTTTATATGTTTTGATTTGACTTTGCTGAGGGGTATGGTGTGTTTATTACCACTACCGCTGTGCATGTTGTTAGGTTAGGAGTATCCTATTTGATGCAAACCACCTGCAACTGCTTGTAACACGTCCTGGTTGGAAAAGACAGGCTGCTTCGTTTTTGCTGGGCCGGATTTTCATCATGCATGTCCTCTTCCTACCTGCTCCTACCCTTCTACCGGTATGTCCCTGCCAGTCTTTCTGCCATGTAAGGCCGAGCCGAGTAATACCTACAGCCTTAGTTTCGGTACATGCTTAGGGTAGCGACATCAGTGTTAGCAGGCGTCCTCTTGGCATAGGAAACATCTGGTAATACCGTAAATTTCTTTCTAATAATCTGTATGAGGCCATGCGAAATTCTCTGAGGTATCTAGGCAAAGTGGTCAGTAAAATATTGGGAAAACTATGTGCTCATGTATTCCCAAATGAGTGCACTACTATTGCAAGCCCTGAACTTGTATCGGTTCGGCGTATTGATTCTTGACTTTCATGAAAAGCTGAGAACCAGGTAACCTTCAGCGGTGGGCGAGTGACAGAGCACGAACGTGTCAGAATGAAGAATGCATTGATGTTGGTTGGGGTACATATAGCTAACCCTAAGTTTTGTACCCCCTAAGACAAACCTCACTATAGGCTACAACATTTGACACACCCCCATAGCCTAAGTGAGGGGTGTCTAGCAGAACCAAACGAGTACGGTCACAAGACCAGTCCAAGAAACAAAGCTCAGGGTGGATCACAACGTCACCACACAGTCTGAGCACAAACAACAGTGGCCACAAGGCCAGTCCAAGAAGTAACAGAGATATATAGAAAGCAAAGTAAACAGTACACTCAAGTCTAAGCAACACGAGAACCAGTGTCAACAAGGCCTAACTGCACACAGCACCTCTGGTGGTCACAAGGCGGAAGCGCCTTGGTGAAGATGTCTGCAGTGTTGGCCTCTGACTCCACAAACTCAAAGCGAGCCTGTCCACGCCTCTGCAACTCTCGCAGAAGAAAGTACCTGACGTGAATGTGCTTCACTCTGCTCTCCAGTCGTGGCTCTCGACAAAGGAGAATAGACGCCTTGTTGTCAGTGAACAAGGTCGGTGCAGAGCTCGGCCGCTCACCAAGGTCGGTGAGCAAGAAGGTCAACCAACGCAGCTCCTGTGCCGCCATGGCACCAGCGTAGATCTCAGCCTCAGCTGTAGAGGTCGAGACCGAAGAGGAGCGCGTGGACCGCCAGGAAACAGCTCCAAAACCCAGGCTGAAACAGTACCCCTGAGTAGACCTGTGAGTCTCAGCGTCGTCAGCGTAAGAGGAGTCACAGTGACCAGTAAGTACGACAGACTGCTGTCCTCCAAGAACTAGCCCCACGCCTGATGTCGTCGCTAGGTACTTCGCCACCCTCACAGCTGCTGTCCAGTGAACAGGACGGTGTCTCCCTGGCGCAACAAAGCGCGCAAGAACGCTGAGAGGGAAGGCGAGGTCCGGGCGAGTACAAGTCATCAGGTACATGAGGCAACCCACAAGCTCTGCGTAGGGACCACTAGGCTCGAACGGCTCGTCAGGAAAGGGTCCAGTGAGTCTGTGGTCAACAGCAAGAGGTGTGCGCTGTACTGTGGAGTGCTGAAGCCCGAACCGCTGAAGGAAATGCTGCACCATGTGCGACTGTGAAAGTGTAATGGTGCGAGCAGCTCTGTCCCTGGTGATCTGCAGGCCAAGGTAGTGGCGCAGCTCACCAAGATCAGTGCAGGTGTGTCTCTTCTGCAGTTCGGACTTCACGTGTGCCAAAGCAACCCTGTCAGGGGTGGCGAAAACAAGGTCGTCAACGTAGACCAGAACAAAGAAAGGTGTGGGGCCACGACGAACGAACAGCGACGGGTCAGCAGAAGACGGCTGGAACCCAAGGTCAGACAGGGTAGAACGCAGGGTGTCGTGCCACTCACGAGGAGCCTGACGAAGACCGTAAACCGGTCGCCTCAGCCTCCACTGGGTCCCAGGAGGGAAAGAGCCAGTGAAGGCAGAGGGACGACGCAACCAGACCTCCTCGTGAAGACTGCCCTGAAGGAAAGCAGTAGAGAAGTCGAGAGAGTGTAACTCGTAGTCTCTCTGTGCTGCTACGTGTAGTAACACCCGAAGAGTGGTCATCTTCGGGGTGGGCGCGAAGGTCTGAAAGAAGTCAACTCCCTCGCGCTGACTGAAACCTCTAGCCACGTAGCGCGCCTTGAAGACCGGAGGAGATCCCGGTGGCCGCTTCACCCTGTAGATCCACATGCCGTCGACTACGTTCGCCCCCGGAGGGGGAACCTCATCGACGTAGGTGCCTGTGGATCTGTAGGAGGCCATCTCTGCGTCCATGGCAGCTCTCCACTGAGAGGCCCAAGGCCCTGACACTGCCTCAGCGTAAGTGCGAGGAGTCGGAATGTCAAGGGCGTCGGGGTCACCCTCAGGGGCGAGGAGCATGGCACAGAGATGAGGGGAAGCGGCGGCCAGGAACTCTAGCTCAAACTGCCTGTCCTCTAGGGCGTCACTGCCAAGGGCAGACACACCCCCGACGGCCAGAGGACTGGAAGGAGGAGCAGCCACAAGAGCGGTGGCGAAGTCAAGGCGGCGGGTAGAGGCAAACTCAGTGACTGCGGCAGTAAGAGCGGACACAGAGGACACAGAGGCACGAGGGTGGGTAACAAGAGAGGCGAGAACACGAGAGAGAACAGGACGGTACGTGCGGTAGTAGTCAGTGACAGGAGAAGGAAGCGACACAGTGAGGGCCGACTCAGGAGGAGACGGAAGCACAGACGGAGACGGACGAGGTGGACGAGAACAAAGGAAGGCTGTACGAAGGTCAGTGAAGGGAACAGGAGACGAGGGACGAGCACGAGGGGAGCGACGAGAGGCCCAAGTCTGAGAAGGAGGAGGAGACAACGAAGACTGAGAACGAGGGAAAACAGCGGGAGAGGGGTCAGGAGGAGGAAGCGGAGGACCAGAGACGGGAGGAGAGGGGGAGGAGGAAGGAGAGGGAGACGGGAGACCAAGGGTCCGAAGACCCGAGACAGGAGGAGGAGACGGCAGCTGCTGCTGCTGCTGCTGCGGCTGCTGTGGCTGCTGCTGCTGCTGCTGCTCCTGCTGCTGTCGCTCCTGCTCCTCGAGCCGCTGCAACTCTCTCTCCTCTCTCTCCAACTCCAGCTGCTCCTCACGAGCACGGCGAACACGAGCCTGGAACCTGGTCGGGTAGGGGTGGGGGGAAGGAGTAGTGTCCGGGGCAGCGGCAGCCCCAGAGTCGACCTCCGAAGCACCAAGCACACCACCCCCAGAGGCAGCACCAACACCAGCTCCAGACCCAGGCTCTCCAGAAACCGAAGGGACACCCTCACCCCCAGACTCCGCACCAGCACCCCCAGACTCCGCACGACCAGTACCAGCCCCCGGAAGACAAGAGTCCTCTGCAACCCGCGGCTCAGCTCCAACTCCAGCACCCCCAGAACCAGAGACCTGTACAGGGACAGTCGCAGGACCAACCTCTCGAGAGGGAGCACCTGCAGGAGGCGGCGAGGAAGACTGTGGGGAGGGAGGCTGTACAGGGGGGGCTACCGAAGGGGGAGGGCTAGCCTGAGACACACCAGACGGGGCTGGACCAGGGGGGGGAGGCTGTACCGGGGGAGCAGGCGGGGGAGCGGCGGTCAGGAAGTAGGCGACACGACGGGGGGAAGGCGCGGACGCGACGCGACGGGGGGAGCGCGACGCGACAGGGGGAAAGGGACGGGCGCGACTCGAGGGGGGGGGAAGGCGACGCGACGGGGGGGGGGAGGGCGGGCTACGCTACGAACTAGAGCGTGGCTCAATGCTAGGCTCGGTAACAGCTGGAACGATAATAACGAGAGCGTGGCTCGGCGCTAGGCTCGGTAACAACGAGAAGGAGACGAACGAGAGCTAGGATCAGGCTCGGGTGGTACGAACGGAGAACGGCGGAACGGGATCCCACAGGATCCTAACCGCTCTCATACCATGTCAGAATGAAGAATGCATTGATGTTGGTTGGGGTACATATAGCTAACCCTAAGTTTTGTACCCCCTAAGACAAACCTCACTATAGGCTACAACATTTGACAGAACGATCTTGGCGTTTTTTTCGCTGATCATGTGAAGTTCCCCAATCGCAGCAATTCGCCCATACTGCAACGCTCTGCGAACAGTCCTGCGTGGGCGTCGTCAGAAAGGGCGACGCGTCAGAGCGTCAACCACTGCTGCCCTGAAACCTCCTCCTCCTTCGAGGCGCTTCAGCAATTTCCCACGTCGCGCATGGGCCTTGCCCTACCGAGTCACAGGCACACCCCCAAGTCACATGCACAGGCGAACATTTCCCTTACGCAATTCCACTTCCGCCCCTCCCAAGTCTGCTACGGCAATGTTCGTGCCAGAAAGAATTCAGTCTCGCACGTACATCGGAAGAGCGAGCCAGGGCACAATACCGCGCTGCCCACACTTCCACCTTCACCCCCCAGGACGGAGTTTCGACTTCGCCCTCTGTCCACCATCCCCACTCTAGTGCCCCAATTTCACAAGTGCCTCCACTGCGTTGCATGGCCAGCGTGGTTGCTTTGGCTTGCACTTCAAGCTGCCCACCTTGAGCACGCGCTTCGCGTCGTGTCGTGAGCACGCCCCCAGGACTCGGAGAACAGCAGACGATATAAAAGCTCTCCATCTCAGATACTTCATAAATTCTCTACCATCGTTCCTTAGCCACCCGAGCCTCTTACGACTACAAAAGTTAACATTCGATTCAGACTTGTTGCATACACGGCATAGCTGACCTCATGGCTGCAAAAGGTGCGTGGATCGCTCAATCTTCTCTATCGATCTGTCGCTAGAGTCCATGCATTTCCAATACTCTTGAATCTGGCATGTTCCAGCGTGTTACTCGAGATGCCCCGACTCTCGTGCCCTGCGTATCGCATAACGGCCGTCACCGCCCGTACTCATCGCTGTGCGTCCCTTCGCGCCCCTATCCCCTTCCAGGCGCACTCGTCCTCGGGCTTCTGTTCGCGTCCGCGCTCCTCGCTCTCGCCGACCGACCGAAATGTGAGTGCGCCGCTCGACCATCTCCGTCCTCGTTCCGCCGATCTCCGGCCCCTTTATCGCCCTCAGCGTGCTCTCTTCCGCCCGCCGCTCGACCATCTCCGCCCTCCCCCCGCCGATCTCCGGCTCCTTTACTGCCCACAGCGTGCTCTCTTTCGCCCGCCGCTCGACCATCTCCGCCCTCCTCCCGCCGTACTCCGGCTCTCTTCTCTCCCTCAGCGTGCTCTCTTCCTCGCCCACACCATCGTACTGATCGATTCGTGTTTTCCTGGTTCGTCGCACGCTGTCGCACATTGTCGCAGGCGTGCTGTACTCGAATTGGGGTGTGACGGACAGCCAGCAGACGCAGGCGAAGAAGAGCGGCAAGTCCACCAAGTCGCTTCCCAGTGGCAAACTCACCATCAAGGAATACAAGTACGCCACTTCTCTACCTTGCTTCGCTCTGTCATTTGGCTGCGCCGTTCCATTTGCGCCGTTCTGCTGCGCGCCATTACGACACGCCCTTCCGCTACCACTCCACCAGCTTCCCTCGTTTCCCCGCGTCGAACCGTTTCCCTTTCCCTAACTCTCTCACGCCTCTCTCCCGCGCGTTTCTCCCTCGCAGGGGCAGCTCCGATGAGTCGTTCGACCTGCAGGTGACTGCCGAGGTCAGCGAGTTACCCGAGCCGCCCGTCGGGATCGTGATCGGAAAGGGCAAGTTCGGCAGCAACACGGGCGTGTTGTGGCTCATCAACAAGCCCTGGAGCGGCAGTGGCGGCTCGTACTCTCTGGACTTCAAGCTGACGGCTATCGAGAAGATCGCGCCACGTGGAGGCAGCGGCACGATTCCCGAGGTGTTGCAGGCTGTGGATAAGGGCATCGTTTCGTCATACTACACGTCTGTTCTCACCAAGTCCACCAGGAAATCTGGCGGCCTCGTTGGCGGCGGATTCGTCAAGGGCTTCCCCAATATTTTGCCCATGTTCAGCTGCTAAAGCCAGGCTGCTCATCCTCTTTATGCTTCGGGGCCCTATAGTATGGTCCTGTAGGCCCTCTTTCAGCCAAGTACCGTAATACATATCCGGAACGGGGGCTAATAGAGTCCCCAGCTCATAATTGGCTTGGGAGCTGCATTTTAGCGTTACACTTGTTTTGTATTTGTAAGTGATGTTGTTATTGCTTGTATAACCATATAAATTTGAAGGCAAGGTGAGGCTTAGCACAACTACTGACAACGACAATGCCGCTTGTTTTGAGCATTTGATATGGCAATTTCAAAACCTTCAGAATTCAAAAATCATCACCCTCAATTGAGACCTTGCCTCTCCACCCTTCCACTCGCACACTGTGCTCTGATTTGAGGCCGTGCCTCCTTTCTCCTGGTAGCCTCAAATCCCCTTCCCATCCCGCTCCTTCACTCCCCTCGCGGCCTCGTTTTTACTTGATTTGAGACCCAGCCCCGCCTTCCCTTGCGGCTTGGAATCGCCTCCATTCACCGAGCATGCCTTCTCATCTTCTTTCCCTTACTTCAAATTCCTCCTCCCTCCCTTTCAAACTCCCTTCCCTTCTTTCCCGACTCACCTCCCTTCCTTCTTATCTCACCTCCCTTCACATCTCCCATAGCTTCCATCCCATAACTCCCTCCTTGCCCTTCCCATCCTGCCCTACCCTTCCTGCCCTCCTGTACCCTAACCCTCGCCTTCCCTGCTCTACTCTACCCTGTTTTTCCCTACACGGCCACTCCTTTTTTTACCCTTCCATTCATTCCCTTCCGCCCCCGACCCTTGTCAGCACCTCCCAACCCAGCAACTGCCTTTGGGACCTTCCATACCCCCACCAATGTTTTGATCTTCCCTTCCATCCCCTTGGGAATAAGGGGAAGCAGTCTTTGGAGGGACGGCACGAAGGGGGGAGGGAGGTGGGGATGTAGAAGAGAGTTTCGTTCGATTATTCTCACAGCATTGGAAGGATGGGATCGGAACAACAGGGAATGGAAGGGCAGGGAAGAGAAGGAAAGGGATGGGCAGGTGAGAGAAGGCCATGAACAGTGGATAAGGTGATTTGACAAGGAGATTAGAGGCGCAACCGAGGCCCAGAACAACGAAAGGAGAGGATTAGCAACGAGGAGAACGGAGGTGCAATGAGGGGAGACGAGGCGTGACGACGAGGGGACTGGAGCGAGAAGAGGAAAGGGACTGCCGGATGAGGGAAGGCTCGAGAAGGGGAAGGGAAGCACGATGATGGGACAGGAGGTGAGATTAGGGGCGGTACAATCTGGGTGTTGGCACGACAACTACAGGAGGCGAGGCTTAAAGAGGTAAGCGACAAAAGGAGGGGTGGCACAGCGACGGGCGGCGCGACAATGGGAGAGGAGGTGCCACGACAAGAGGCACTCACAGTGCGTGCATCGGCAGGCGGAGGTGGCAACCACAATGAACACCTCAATTAAACGCTTGTAGATTTCTATGAATCTTTGGTATAGTGTAGTTGAAAGCTAGCTAGCTTTCCGCCTTTCAAATTATTAAATAGATTACTGCTCAGTGTATTGCTCTAACTGAAGTTTACCTGGGTTGGGCCTTCCCTTTCAACGAGACCTCCCATAGCCCAGCTATTTTCTACGCATCCAGGTGGGCTGTAATGTTTGGACGAGCGTTTCGCCAACCCTTGTATCATTTCGCACATGCGGGATGGCTTCGCACAAACCACGAATCCCAGCCCGTACCTCCTCCTTCGACGCGCTTCGGTAGTATCTCACCTGGCGCACGAACATTGCCCCAGCGAAAGACAGGCAGGCCCCACCTTCCCCTGACACAATTCTCTGGTTCCGCCCCTCCCAAGTCAGCTCCAACCAAGTTCGTGCCTAGGTGAATTTAGTGTCGCACGAACATCGGAAGAGCGCGCCACTAGCACAATACCACACTGCCCGCAACCCCACCTTCGGCCCCTAGTTCCTGGTTCCGTCCCTCGCCGTCCATCCGCCAACGCAACGCTAGTATACCGCAATTTCTCTGTGTATCCGCTCCACCACCATTGCCAGCGTGGCAGCTTTGGCTTGCTCTACAAGCTGCCCCACTTTGAGCACGCGCTTCGTGGCGCGAGCACGACCAGGCGAGCCTCGGACGATATAAAAGCTCTGTAACTCCGAGGATCGACATATCCTTCACCATCGTTCCTTCGCCAGCAGTCTTCCCAGTACAACGACACCAAGCAAATCATACCCGTTGCATTCTTTGAATAGTTGACCTCATGGCTCCCTTAATCTCTGCAAAAGGTGCGTTGATCGCTCGATCCTTTCTCTATTGATCTTTCGATTCGTCTCAATAGTCCTCTCACTCCCAACGTTCGTGAATTCTCGTCAATCTTTGGTGTCCTCAACTAAGCGCTCGCTAGAAATCACCTGAATCCTCAGTCTGTCGCGCTGCCATCAGCAATGCCCTCGCTCCGTCGCCAGCCCTTTCGAATCCCGTTCAGCTACTCGACATGCATTTCTCTCGCTCCTCACTCCCTGGGGGTCACGTTACGGCCTTCACAGCCCGTACTCATCGCTGTGCGCTCCTCCGCGCCCCTACCCCCCTCCGCGCCCCTACCCCCCTCCGCGCCCCTATCCCCCTCCAGGCGCTCTCGTCCTCGGGGTGCTATTCGCGTCCGCGCTTCTCACTCTCGCCGACCGACCGAAATGTGAGCGCGCCGCCATCCATCTCGGCCTTCCTCCCATCCCGTCTCTCTTCCCGCCCGCTTTGCGCTCTCTTCTCGCTCGCAGTCACTGCGTGGTCCCTTCCGCTCGCAGCCCATTGTACTGACCGATGCTTGTTTCCCTGGTTCGTCGTACGTTGTCGCACATTGTCGCAGGCGTGCTCTACTCGAACTGGGGCGTGACGGACAGCCAGCAGACGCAGGCGAAGAAGAACGGCAAATCCACCAAGTCGCTTCCCAGTGGCAAACTTACCATCAAGGAATTCAAGTACGCCTTTTCGCTATGTTTCTTCTCTTCGCTCTGTCATTTGGCTGCGCCATTTCGTTTGCGCCGTTCCGCTTGCGAATTTCCGCTTCGCGCCATTCCACCGCAACCACTAACTTTTTTACGCCTACCACTCCTCGAACCCTCTCCGTCCCACTAACTTTTTACGCTTCTCTCCCGCGCGTTTCCCCCTCGCAGGGGCAGCTCCGATGAGTCGTTCGACCTGCAGGTGACTGCCGAGGTGACGGAGCTCCCGGAGCCGCCCGTGGGAATCGTGATCGGCAAGGGCAAGTTCGGCAGCAACACGGGCGTCTCGTGGTACATTAACAAGCCCTGGAGCGGCAGCAGCGGCTCGTACAAGCTCGACTTCAAGCTGACTGGCATTGAGAAGCTCGCGCCGCGTGGCGGCAGCGGCACGATTCTGGAGGTGCTGCAGGCTGTGGATAAGGGCGTTGTCTCCTCGTACTACACGTCTGTTCTCACGAAATCAACCAGGAAATCCGGCGGCCTCGTTGGTGGCGGATTCATCAAGGGCTTCCCCAACATTTTGCCCATGTTCAGCTGCTAAATCCAGCGGTTGGGCCTGCTGTTGCGGTTCAATACAGCCTTGCAGCCCCTAAATTATCGGCTAATAAAAAATGTCTGATGCGGGCTCTGATGGAGACCCCCATCTCATAATATTGGCTTAGCAGCTGCTTGTCGGCGATAGACTTGTTTTGTACTTCTCTAGAAGCTTTTTGTATGGGATTGAGATGTCAGTTGTTTGTATTATCATATAACGCTAACGCACTACGATGTACGATGGGGACCAGCCCTTGTATTTCACGGCAAAACCAACTGATGTTTCTCCGTCAACGTCAGCTTTCCCGCGCACACATCTCACATCACCCCACATCACTTGTCCCTTCCGCAACCACACCTGTTCGCATCTTCCCCGCGCGAACCAACTGCCCCTGCGCGAGAGAAACCAGCACGGGTTTGTAGGGCCCGCGGATCCAACACATCCACCAACCCGACAGACAAGCAGAGCGAGTCCGAAAACAAATTCTTCGGTTACGCACCATTTTCCACGGTGTAGTTCGGTGCGCTGCTAACTTATGCCACGTGTTTTCAAATATTATCAACAAACACGCATCCATCAAAAAGTACCAACCAAATCTGACCGTTTTCCCTAGCTCTCTCGCAGACTTCTAAGCTTAGCTAGTAGTTGTCGAGTCTAGCGTTCCTTGCGGGCTAATCGACAGAGTGGGAGCGGCGTGGCGAGTGAGTCCTCGCGCGGGGCTATGGCGAGCGTCAACCCCATATCCCTCGCAGGACCCTCGCCGCAGGACGTTCAACGGACCAAGGAGCTAGAGAAGGTGATGCGCTAGACGCGCGAGACGAAATAGCGAGATGCACTAGACGCGCTAGATGAGATTCACCGGATGCATGATGCGTCAGACGCGCCAGACGCGCTAGACCCGCAAGATGCGCGAATCCCCGCTGCCTGCTCGTAGCATATCTGCTCCCTTGCCGGCTTTACTGATAACCTCTTGAGGCTTCTTCTGTTGACGAGGCACTGACGCGTCGATGCCGTGCTATTGGGCTTTAACTGGGACGTGTGCAGTTTCTAGTGGATGCGGGGTTGTACGAGAGCCAAGACGAGGCCATCCTGCGCGAGGAGGTTCTCGGCCGCCTCGACGAGGTTAGTACGTTGCGCGTTTGGAAGAAACGCACCGCCGCGTACGTTTTTCAGATTCGTCCAGAACGCACCGGAGCATCCGCTGGCTTGCGAAGCATATCTCTTGTTGTTTCTCCGTTCAGATATCAACGAGGTAAGATTGTGCGGCGGCGGATGGTTGAAGTTCTAGTGGGTATGATGGGTGGGTCCCTGTGAGGTGTGTGAGTGCGTCTTGTCTTTCACTGGTTCCCGCGTTGTGATACACATGTGCATCTCGATCTCGTTTTTGTTTGTCGCGCGGATGGTGAAGGCGTGCGCGCGTAGGTGGTTGCGGAGCGTGCTAGCGTGTGGTAAAGGCCTGAGCGCACCTGTGTTTCCCTGCGTGTGCGTGTGCATGTCTGCGTGCGTGTGTGTTTTGCCGTTTCCTTCCCACGTCGTGCCGCAGATAGTGAAGGTGTGGGTGAAGAGCGTGAGTCGGCGCAAGGGCTTTAACGACCAGTTCGTCGCCGACGCCAACGCCAAGATCTTCACCTTCGGCTCCTACCGCCTCGGGGTGAGCGCTTGTCCCCCGCGCTTTTGCTCCGCGCGCTCACTCTCCCCGCGCGCACGTTCCGCACTTTAATCTTCACCTTCGGCTCCTACCGCCTCGGGATGAGCGATTCGGTTCCAACCGCCTCGGGGTGATTTGTCATGCCTCTTGATGTTCACCTGTCCTGCGCTCTTCTGTTCCGCGCTCTGATTTCCATCTGCTAAGTGCCGTCCCTGCCGTCCCGGCCGTCCCTTCCATCCCTGCTGCCCCTGCCGTCGTCGCGCGTGCGCCCTCCAGGTGCACGGTCCAGGCGCCGATATCGACACGCTCTGTGTGGGCCCGCGTCACGCCACCAGGGAGGTACGCCGTCCCGTCCTTGCCTCCCCATCATCACTCACACCAGCTTGTGATTTTCCAGCTGCTCCGGCTGCCCTTGCTTCTATCATTTCTACTGGTCTCTTTCGCCCGAATTCATCAACCCTCATCCCCGCTCGCTCCTCCCTTCCGCCTTTCCCTTCGCGCCACAACGCCTTCGCTCCACCCTCTTTCCCCTCTACCCCCGCCACCCACCCCCCACCCGCCCCCCCTGCCTGCTCTCCCCCGCAGGAGGATTTTTTCGGCGAGCTACACGACATGCTGGCACAGTTACCCGAGGTGACGGGGCTGCACTCGGTACCCGATGCACACGTGCTTACTCCCCGACGTGCCCCCTCTCTCTCTCTCTCTCTCGCCTGCCTGTTCCTTACCAGGAGGATTTCTTTGGCGAGCTACACGACATGCTGGCGCAGCTGAGCGAGGTGACGGAGCTGCACTCCACCCTCTTTCTCCTCTCCCCACACCCCCCCCACCCACCCCCCACCCCCCCTGCCTGCTCCCCCTCTCAGGAGGACTTCTTTGGCGAGCTGCACGACATGCTGGCGCAGCTTTCAGAGGTCACGGAGCTACAGTCGGTGCCCGATGCGCACGTGCGTCCCCTCACCGTTCCGCTCTCCCTCTCCCCGCTCCCCTCACCCGCTCCACGTTCCCCCGCTTTCCCCCATTACAGGAGGACTTTTTCGGAGAGCTACACGACATGCTGGCGCAGCTATCAGAGGTGACGGAGCTGCACTCGGTACCCGATGCACACGTCTTCCCACCCTCCCCTTCCCCCGACTTTCCGCTTCTCTCTTGCCCCCATGCACAGGAGGACTTCTTCGGCGAGCTACACGACATGCTGGCGCAGCTATCAGAGGTGACGGAGCTGCACTCGGTACCCGATGCACACGTGCTTCCCCCCCAACTGTCCGCTTCTCTCTCCCCCTTCCCCCCTTGCCTGCTCCCCTCCTCCAGGAGGATTTCTTTGGCGAGCTACACGACATGCTGGCGCAGTTACCTGAGGTGACGGAGCTGCACTCCGTACCCGATGCACACGTGCCCACTCCAACTCCCCCCCCTCCCCCTTACAGGAGGATTTCTTTGGCGAGCTACATGACATGCTCGCACAGTTACCCGAGGTCACGGAGCTGCACTCCGTATCCGATGCACACGTGCTTCCCACCTCTCTTCCCCCCTGCCTGCCTTCCTTCACAGGAGGACTTTTTTGGCGAGCTACACGACATGCTCGCACAGCTGGGGGAGGTGACGGAGCTGCACTCTGTACCTGATGCACACGTGCCTGTGATGAAGTTCAAGTTCCGCGGCATCTCCATCGACCTGCTCTACGCGCAGCTCGCGCACACTGTGGTTCCGGAGGTGAGTATGCATCCCGCCGCATCGCGTTCCGCTTCCCCCTCCCCGTTCCCACCCTCTCTCGTCCCCCCGCCCCTCTCCCCACGTGCGCGTGATGAAGTTCAAGTTCCGTGGCATCTCCATCCACCTGCTCTACGCGCAGCTCGCTCATACTGTTGTTCCCGAGGTGAGTAAATTGAGGCTCGCCGTGTGTTTGCACGTTCCTGCGTTCCTCTGGTAGTGATCGGATCGGATTGATGTCCATTCAACTGCTGCATCTCCATCCACCTGCTTTACACGCAGCTCCCGCACACCGTCGTTCCCGAGGTGCGTGAATCGCCGCTTCTAGGGCGGCCTGCTCGTCCATGCTCGTCCCTGCTCTCAGCTCCTCGTCCCTGCTCTCAGCTCCTCGTCCCTGCTCTCAGCTCCTCGTCCCTGCTCTCAGCTCCTCGTCCCTGCTCTCAGCTCCTCGTCCCTGCTCTCAGCTCCTCGTCCCTGCTCTCAGCTCCTCGTCCCTGCTCTCAGCTCCTCGTCCCTGCTCTCAGCTCCTCGTCCCTGCTCTCAGCTCCTCGTCCCTGCTCTCAGCTCCTCGTCCCTGCTCTCAGCTCCTCGTCCCTGCTCTCAGCTCCTCGTCCCACTGTGGGGCGTGCCAGGGCGTGGATTTGTCAGAAGAGGCGGTTGAGGAGGCGTGCTGCGTGTGTGCCTCTCCCTCCCCATCAGGATCTGGATCTCTCAGAGGAGGCGATACTGCAGAACGTGGACGAGTGGACTCAGCGCTCGCTCAACGGGTGCCGCGTCACGGATCAAATTCTCAAGCTCGTGCCAAATATTGAGGTAATGATGGGCAAGGGGGGAAAGGGATGGGGAGAAGAGGGGGGGGCAGGTGAGGAAAGAAAGGGGGGGGGGGGGGGTGAGGAAAAGGGGGAAAGGAAGTGGGGGAAGGAAGGGAAACCAGGGAGGAAAGGAGGGAGGGAAAAAGGGAAAAGAAAGGGGGGGGAGGAAATGCCACGCGAGATCCAGTTGCGACTTCCATTGGCTTTTGTGTTTGCCAAAGACGTAAGCTCAGTTGTGTGCTGCGCTGTGTCCTCTGTGTGCTGCGCTGTGTCCTCTGTGTGCTGCGCTGTGTCCTCTGTTTGCTCATGTTCCTCTGGGTATGTGTCATGTTTCCCCGTCCGTGCCGTGTGTTGTGTGTCCCGTCTGACATGTGTTTGCGCCATGTGTTTGCGCCATGTGAGCCATGTGCTGTGCTGGTGTGCTGTGTGCCTTGTACCATGGGAGTGCAGACGTTCCGACTGACCCTGAGGTGCATGAAGCATTGGGCCAAGAAGCGAGGCGTCTATTCCAACGTGAGTCTCTCGTCCGTGCATCTCCTGCGCGCCTCATGCCTTTCCTCTCCTCGCCTGCCTCCTTCCTTATGAGATGAATAACGAATCTCCCTCATCTGTTGCTCTCCGTCCCCCCGGCAAACCGCCATTGGTCCAACCCGCCTCTCGCCTTCTCCTTTATTCACCGTTCTCTCTTGCTTTCTGCCCTCCAGCCCCCCTCCCCCACCCCGCGTTCTTCCCATCCTCATCTTCCCCGTCCCCCCGTGCAGGTCGCGGGTTTCCTAGGCGGCGTGAACTGGGCGATCCTAGTGGGGCGTGCCGCGCATGGGTTCCTTCTCCCCTCACTTCCCACTCCGCCCTCTCACTTCCCACTCCGCCCTCTCACTTCCCCCACTCCGCCCTCTCACTTCCCCCACTCCGCCCTCTCACTTCCCCCACTCCGCCCTCTCACTTCCCCCACTCCGCCCTCTCACTTCCCCCACTCTTCCCCAAAACAGGTCGCGGGGTTCCTAGACGGGGTGAACTGGGCGGGTGTGCTAGCTCTATCTCAACCTCCCTCCTCTCCCCTCCCCTGTCCCCCTTTCACCCTCCTCCACCGCCCTCTGTGCCCCTCCCCTCCCCTCCTCCTCTTACCCCCTCTCCCAGGTCGCAGGGTTCCTGGGCGGAGTGAACTGGGCTATACTGGCAGGCCGCGTGTGCCAGCTGTACCCCAACGCAGCCCCCTCCATGCTAGTGGCGCGCTTCTTCCGCTTCTACACGCTCTGGCAGTGGCCGCTGCCTATCATGCTCACCACCACCATCGACCACGGCCCCTCTCCCTCCTCCCTTTCCCGTGCAGGTTGCGGGCTTCCTAGGGGGCGTGAACTGGGCAATTTTAGCAGGGAGGGTGTGTCAACTCTACCCCAATGCAGCCCCATCCATGCTAGTGGCGCGCTTCTTCCGCTTCTACACGCTCTGGCAGTGGCCGCCTTGCCTTCACACCCGCCCTCCCATCTTCTCTCCTCCCCCCAAACCAGGTGGCAGGGTTTCTTGGTGGGGTGAACTGGGCGATACTTGCAGGGAGGGTGTGTCAGCTCTACCCCAATGCGACCCCCTCCATGCTGGTTGCTCGCTTCTTCCGCTTCTACACGCTCTGGCAGTGGCCGTTGCCCATCATGCTCACCGACATCAACCTCCCTTTCCCCCCTTCCTCACCTCATCCCCTCTTTCAGGTGGCTGGGTTTTTAGGAGGCGTGAACTGGGCGATATTGGCGGGCCGCGTGTGTCAACTCTACCCCAATGCCGCGCCATCAATGCTAGTCGCTCGCTTCTTCCGCTTCTACACGCTCTGGCAATGGCCGCTGCCCATCATGCTCACAGACATTGACCACGGCGCCATGGGCTTTAACTTCCCCATCTGGGACCCGAGAAGGAACCCCCGCGACGCGCTGCATTTGATGCCGATTATCACGCCCGCGTATCCGTGCATGAACAGCAGCTATAATGTCTCGGAAAGCACGCTGAGAGTTATGAAGGATGAGTTTCGGCGCGGGAAGGAGATTTGCGATCGGATTGAGGGGGCGGTGGGGGGTGGTGGGGCGGGGGGAGCGGGGGGAGCAGCGGGGGGAGCGGGGGGAGCGGGCGGAGGGGGGGCGGGGGAGCAGAGGGCGGAGTGGGTGGAGTTGTTTGAGCCGTTTGCATTCTTTGAGGCATACAACCACTACCTTCAGATCGACATCAGCGCTGCCAGTGATGCCGACATGCTCAAATGGAAAGGATGGGTGGAGTCAAGGCTCCGCACCCTTGTCACCAGGGTGAGTGGATACGGGTGGGTGTAGACGGGTGTGAATGGGTGTGGGAGGGTGTGGGTGGGCAGGAGGGCGTACAACCACTACCTTCAGATCGACATCAGCGCTGCCAGCGATGCCGATATGCTTAAGTGGAAAGGATGGGTGGAATCAAGGCTCCGCACGCTTGTCACCAGCGTGAGTGGATAGGGGTGGGTGTAGATGGGTGTGAGTGGTTGTGAGTGGGTGTGGACGTGGATGGGTATCGGGTGGACAGTATGGAAGGGTGTGGGTGGGCAGGAGGGCATACAACCACTACCTTCAGATTGACATCAGTGCTGCTAGTGATGCCGACATGCTCAAATGGAAGGGGTGGGTGGAATCCCGCCTGCGCACCCTCGTCACCAGGGCTAAGTGGGAATATACGCGTTTAGCGTATATATGCGTATCGTATATACGCTAGCGTATATACGCTATCCGCTTAGGGGTTCGGTTTGGAGATACGCTTTTTCGGGCAGAGGAAAAAACTTTCCGGGCAGGTGAAAAAAGTACTCCCTATTCTTACAAAGGCTTGCCCTAGCATAATCCCGAATCCGAATGACTATTACAACGGGAGGTGGAGTAGACCTAATAGCTCGAAAGCGAAGTAGTGTGAACTCTGGTGAAAGCGGGAACGAAATGACGAGTTAGGGTTAGCCAACAGGGTTGGCTGGTAAGTACCGTGAGATTTGTTGGGGGGTTAATTCTGACAGGTTGGAGTTTGTACATAAAGTGGAGTTCAATGCGGTGGAAGGGATGGTTTTCAATCCCTAGATGGGATCTGAAATTCAAGATTTGCCAGACGACTTCGAAGTCAGATCCCCGTTTGCCTAGACCGCGGATTTGAATTTCGACTATGGCGAATTGCTCACCTAGGAAATCCGCATCTATTTTGCGATTTTTTTTGGGCAGCCCTAAAATTTTTCTGATAGCGTATAGCGTATTCGCTAGCGTATAGCGTATAGCGTATGTACGCTAGCGTACATACGCTGTACGCTTAAGGTGTTAAGCGTATATTCCCACTAAGCACCAGGGTGGGTGTGGGTGTGGGTGTGGGTGTGGGTAGGAATGGTTGGGAATGGGTGGGTCGAAGTGATTGGGAATTGGTGGGAATGATTGGGAATGTGTGGGAAATGGTTGGGCATGGGTGGGAGTGGGTGCTGTGCTGGTGCGTGCATGCGTGGGGGGGCGGGTGCAGCACCAATCGCGTGTGTGTGTGTGGGATTTGCGACCCCTTGTCCCCGGCACGCCGTCATTGTCCCACAGCCTCTCAACCTCTCAACTTTTCCTCATCCCTTTTCCACCACCCGGCTCTCCCATGCAGATCGAGCGGCACACAGACGGGTTGCTGCAGTGCCACCCGCACGTATGCGAAATTCACGACCCGGCCCGCTCCTACCTGCACTGCCTCTTCTACATGGGCCTGCAGCGCCGCGCCCCCCCCCACCCCCACCCCATGCACCCCCGGCACTGCTGGGAGTAGCGGCCAGCACTGAGACGAGTGGCTTCAAGAAATCTCAACCTTACCATGCAGATCGAGCAGCACACAGACGGGTTGCTGCAGTGCCACCCGCACTTGTGTGAGATTCACGACCCCTCTGTGCCCGGTCTGAACACTCTCAACTCACGCCCCCTCACCACCACTCCCCACCACCCACCCGCTCCCCCCAATGCAGATCGAGCGGCACACAGATGGGTTGCTGCAGTGCCACCCGCACGTGTGTGAGATTCACGACCCGGCCCGCTCCTACCCGCACTGCCTCTTCTACATGGGCCTCCAGCGCCGCGCCACCCCCACCCCCACCCCCACCACCCCCGGCACCCCCGGCGCCGAAGAGAACGGGGGCGCTGGTGCTGCCGGTGGGGGAGCGCGGGAGTTTGACATTCGGTATACTGTGGACGATTTCAAGAGTACGGTGGAGAGCTTTCAGATGTGGCGCGAGGGCATGGGGATAGATGTGCTTTATTTGAAGCGCAAGCAGCTGCCTCTGTTTGTCTTCCCGGGGGGTGTGAAGCCGCGACGGGCGTCGCGAGGAGGGAAGGGGTCGGGGAAAAAGGAGAAGGGTGCTGGGGGGGGTGTGTCGCCTGGGAATGGTTTAGGGGGGAGGGTGTCGGGGAAGCGAGGGGCGGAGGAGGGGGGAGAGCAGGGGGAGGCGAAGCGTGCGCTCACGCCTGCTGCTGCTGCCGCTGCTGTTTCTGCGTCTGCTGCTGCGGCTGCGGCGGCTGTGGGTGCTGCGGGTGGTGTGGCAGCAGGAGCGGGATTGTCCCCCGTGTCCCCTGCTCTTGTCTCTGTGGGTGGTGTTGGTGGGGCGGCAGCAGCAGAAGGCGAGGGGGCGGGGAGAGGGGCGGGTGGAGGGGGAGCAGAGGCGCTGCAGGCAGGAGCGGCAGTCAATGGCAGTCTAGACGAACTGGAGGTGGCGTTTGCTTGCTGTGGTGTCAATGTTGCTGCGTGCTGTCATGTTTCCTTCTGCGGTGGTGCTTTGAAACTTTTCGATTCCACTTTCTTTCGTTCCTGCTGGTCTGGCTATGATCGATGGTTCTCTCTCTGCACTCCTTCTGCTCGTCCCCCATGCGCCAGCAAGCATGTCTGCACTCGCCACACCGCCACGCTGCCATCAGCCTTGTTTTGAGGCACCTCAAAACTCGCCACACCGCCACACCGCCACGCTGCCATCACCCTTGCTCTGAAAGAGCCATCGCCGCCTTGTGCTGCACTCCTCTGGCCATCCCTCCCCGCTATTGCCACCCCTCCCCTTTTCCCTCTTTCCCTCTTCTCCCCCTCCCCGCCTTTCCCCACTGCCCTCCCACTGCCCTCCCACTGCCCTCCCACTGCCATCCCACTGCCATCCCGCACCCATCCAGCAGGCGGTGCTGCCAGCATCAGCGCATGCGGGCATGAGGCAGGAGGCACGGCCTCGACCCACTCTCAAGTGCGCGCCCCCTTGCACCCCTTGCACCCCTTGCACCCCTGCCGCGCACTCACCTGCCTGCTAGCCTGGCCACCACCCGCCCACAAACCACCGCTGCCTGCCTGCGAGATTTGTCACCCACTGCTGTCTTGCCGTGCTGCCATTCCCCTTCAAGTTGCATTTCAGCAGTTTTTTGCGTTGCTCGTTTTTCCCCGTGTTTTGTAATTCTCTCCCATCTCCCTTTTTTCTTCTCTGTACCAGTTCACCTGCACACTTCTGCTGCATCGTCCTGTGTCTCTCTGTACCCCCCCCTCCCCCCCATCGTCGCATGCACCGCCCATCCCTGTCACATGCGCCGCCCGTCCTCGTCATATGCGCCATCCATCTACTTTCCATTTTGCCGCCCATCCCCTCAGGCTAAGCTTTGCATCAGGCTTGGCTGGCCGAGTGGCGAGAACCTGAGGCAGCAGCGGTAGCGGCAGCAGGTGAGGTGCCAATAGGTTCGGTCCGTTCCTGTGTGCACACCATAGGTTTGACTGAGCGATGACTTGCCTGCTGTGGCCTTTTTTCTGCTCGCCCAGGGACTTCTGTGATGGTTCCGCGTGGTGGTGTTCCTTACACCTACCATGTACGCCGTACCGTACTGTATGGTACAGTACATCTTGGATGTGGCAAGCTTGGGACTAACAGCGGTAAGGAACTGAGCATATTGCTTGGTTTTCAGGGTTTTGTTATTTTCTCTTCGGGTTTTACTAACTTAGGTGGTGGGTGTGAGTGTGTGGTCGGGATTGGATGGGGTTCCTGCATTGTCCTTCACGAGGAGTCTTGCCGCTGAAGCAACATCGTGTCTGGCGGAGCATAGGATTACTAATCGTAGATGTCGCATCTTGTATCATGCATTTATATATACTTCGTTCACCTTGTACTGGTCGACATTGGTTTCTTTCATATGAGGTTGTGCTGCATGATTCTTGAACTACCTTAGTATTCCAGAGGTTGAAGCAGCATACGGATGTTTTTTTAGGGTGTGAAGTGTAATACACGAATGTACGAATTTAATGCTACTTATATTATTATTATTATTTGAAAGATACACTGGACAGAAGTCAGGGAAATCCTATTTGAAATCGAGTCAAATTCAGCCCTACACGTGGCAACCTCGCGCCCCTCTAGCCGACCATACCTGGTCTTGGCCAATCACGCACGTATCGCATCTCACGGACCGCGTCCGCTGAAGGTACATCCTCGTTACAAGCTTCCAACTATTCTCCCTGCCCTCAACACCACAAACAGCTGTCGAGTGATCGCTTTGAAACGCAACAAACCGAACCACAATGCTCTCCATCCTTGCAAGCAAACGCGATGGATATCTCCTTATCCACGCAACCCCCTCCTTTTCCGTCTGTTTTCTGCTCCATTTATCCTTTCCCAACGAACTCCCAGATTCCTTCGAGCTTTTTTCCTGTCGAGATCGATACTTGCCTTTCTGCCTTGCGTTCCTCGTGAACCCTAATCAGGGATCAGGGTTTTGAGTATCCGGCAGCCGCACTAGCTTACGCAGCGTGATTCACGGCTGCTGGTGGTAAGCGGGTTCGTACTCCTCCTTTTTTGCCATGGCGGACGCTAGCGGGCCAGAGAACGATAAGAATATAGAAATATGGAAGATCAAGAAGCTGATTAAGGCTCTCGAGCAAGCCAGAGGAAACGGGACGAGCATGATATCGCTTATCATGCCGCCGCGCGATCAGGTCGCGCGAGTGGCGAAGATGCTTGGCGACGAGTTCGGGACGGCGTCGAACATTAAGAATCGCGTGAACCGGCAGTCCGTGTTGGGCGCTATCACGTCCGCGCAACAACGACTTAAGCTCTACAACAAGGTATCTATGGTTCACATCATCTACACAATGAATTATTGTGTGCTTACCGCGAAAGCGTTACACCTCGTGCGTTGCGCGAACACTCAGGAGATGCCATGGGCGTCGCGCCGGTAGAACACGACGGAAAGGTAGAACGCGACGCCATCGTTTTGATGTTCGTTTGACGATGATTCAAGAAAGGTCGATGAGCGGTCGCTGAAAGGATCAGGATCAGTCATGGTTAGAGCCCGGCTTTTGCGTCTCGCTTTGCTTGCCATCTTAATTTCACGCAAGATGACGTGTGTACAGCAAGCGAATTCCTTGTGCTATGAATTCCTGAAGCTGCTTCCGCTAGTCGCATTGGCACCTTTGCGCGCAGCGTCTAACTCCGCAACCTGTCCTTCCTCCCGTTATTCTCCCGTGCATGCACTTTGTTACGGTTTCGTGCAATGCACTGACACGTTTGTCACGGGCGATCTTGTTGTCAACTCCCTTCATCCGCTTGCCTGGGCCTTCCCAACGGCCTGGTGCTGTACACGGGCACGATCGTGACAGACGAGTTTTGTAACCCAAACTCTCACTCTCCTTCTTCGCACTCCTGTCAGGTCCCTCCGAACGGCCTGGTGCTGTACACGGGCACGATCGTCACGGACGACGGCAAGGAGAAGAAAGTGACGATCGGAAGATCTTTCAGATTCCTAATTCCTCTTTCACCCTCCGTAACACCCTCCCTTCAGGTCCCTCCGAACGGCCTGGTGCTATACACGGGCACGATCGTGACGGACGACGGCAAGGAAAAGAAGGTAACGATCGACTTCGAGCCGTTCAAGCCCATCAACGCGTCGCTCTACCTCTGCGACAACAAATTCCACACCGAGGCTTTAAACGAGCTGCTCGAATCCGACGAGAAGTTCGGCTTTATTGTGATGGACGGCAACGGCGCGCTCTTCGGCACGCTCTCGGGCAACACGCGCGAGGTGCTGCATAAATTCACGGTGGATTTGCCCAAGAAGCACGGGCGCGGCGGGCAGTCCGCGCTGCGGTTCGCGCGGCTGCGCATGGAGAAGCGGCACAACTACGTGCGCAAGACGGCGGAGCTGGCGGTGCAGTTCTTTATCAACCCGCAGACGTCGCAGATCAACGTGTCGGGATTGGTGCTCGCGGGCGCTGCGGAGTTCAAAACGGAGCTGAGTCAGTCCGATATGTTCGACCAGCGGCTGCAGGTGAGGTTGGGATTGGCGCTGTGCGGTGGAAAAGGGTGCTATTATGGGTTGGGGGGCATTGGGGGTCAGGTGGGGGCAGGTGGGGGCAGGTGGGGGCAGGTGGGGGCTTGTGGGGGCATGGGGGCACAGGGAGTGGAGCCTGGGGAACGGAAGAGCTTGCGGTGCAGTTCTTTATCAACCCGTAGACGTCGCAGATCAACGTGTCGGGATTGGTGCTCGCGGGCGCTGCGGAGTTCAAAACGGAGCTGAGCCAATCGGACATGTTCGACCAGCGCCTGCAGGTGAGGTTGGGAGGAGCGCGGTGCGGTGGAAAAGGGTGCTGGTGAGAAGACGTGGCTGAGGGGGTGTGGGGTATTGGGGAGCATGAGTGCTCGCGGGAGCTGCAGAATTTAAAACGGTTCTGAGTCAGTCTGACTTGTTCGACCAGAGCCTGCAGGTGAGACGCGGAGGTTGGGAGGGGCGGAGAGCGGTGGAGATTGGTGCTTGTGAGCAGACGTGGCGCGAGGGGGATTGGATATGGGGATGGAGGGAGAAGACACGGGTGAGCGTGGGGGATATGTGCGGCATGGGGGCAGCGGAGGGGCGTGGGGTAGGATGCGTGGTTCGTTTTTTTCACATTCTGAATTCCTCCCTCTCGCGTTCATCACCCCTCGTCACCCCTCGTCACTCCGCGTCAACCCTAGTCATCCCTTCTCACCCCCTCGTCCGAATTGAAGATTCTCAATGCGGAGGACGGCTCGCCTCCTCCCTCTTTCAATTCCGCATCATTCACCACCTTCATCACCCCTATGCATCCCTCTGCACCCCTCTGCACCCCTCTGTACCCCTCCTCACCCTTCTGCACCCCTCCATTCACCACAGTCGAAGATCCTGAACGTGGTGGACGTGTCATACGGTTGGGAGAACGGGTTCAGCCAGGCCATCGAGCTCAGCGCGCCACTTCGTCGCCCCTCTTCACCACTCATCACCCCTCTTTACCCGTCTGTACCCTTCTGTACCCCTCATCACCCCTCCCACTTACCACATTCCAAGATCCTGAACGTGGTGGACGTGTCATACGGTGGGGAGAACGGGTTCAGCCAGGCCATCGAGCTCAGCGCGCCCCCCGTCGCCCATCTCTTCCCCTCATCACCCCTCTGTACCCTTCTGTACCCCTCTTCATCCTGCGCAGTCCAAAATTCTCAACGTGGTGGACGTGTCGTACGGAGGGGAGAACGGGTTCAGCCAGGCCATCGAGCTCAGCGCCGAGCTGCTCGCAAACGTCAAATTCATCCAGGTGAGAATGGAATGCAGAGCGGTTGATTGGGATGCAGGGTTGTCAGGGGGCACTTGGGCGAGGTGCTGTTGTGGCGAGAGGTGCAATGCAATTCGAACTGGCAGCCAGGCCATCGAGCTCAGCGCGGAGCTGCTCGCCAACGTCAGATTCATCCAGGTGAGAATGGGATGGAAAGCGGTTGGGTGAGATGCAGGGTGGTCAGGGGGTACTCGGGTGAGATGCTGTTGTGGCGAGAGGTGCAATGCAATTTAACCTGGCAGCCTGGCCATCGAGCTCAGCACGGAGCTGAGCTCCTCTAAGGGAGGGGGAGGAAGTTGCATCAATGAAAAACAGAGGAGCGTTATGGTGAGTCGTAGGAGTGAAGACAAGAGACAATAGAAAAGGCAAAGCGGCTGCACTACAAACGTTAGTTTGATACGTATTAAATGCCAGCCTCACTCTCCCCGCCCTCCCCACCCTCCCCCGCCCTCACCACCCTCCCCGCCCTACCCATCGTCATTCTTCTGCTGCCCTGGTCCCTCATACACCAGGAGAAGCGGCTGATTGGTCGGTACTTCGACGAGATCAGCCAGGACACGGGCAAGTACGTGTTTGGAGTGGACGACACACTCAAGGCGCTCGAGATGGGCGCCGTGGAGATCCTCATCGTGTGGGAGAACCTTGATGTCAACCGGTACACTCTTAAGGTGAGAATAGCAGCATGTATAGGGTCAGCGCATTTAGGTGCATGCATCGCTGAGATGGGCGCCGTGGAGATCCTCATCGTGTGGGAGAACCTTGATGTCAACCGCTACACTCTCAAGGTGAGTCGATTCATGGTCAAGGAGTTGACGTGCGTGGGATGGGATGCAGAGCCTGCTTGCCTGTGCATGCGCCGTGGTTGGGATGGGCGCTGTGGGGATTCTGATCGTGTGGAAGAACCTGGACGTCAACCTGTACACGCTCAAGGTGGGCTGATGAACATGTGTAGGGTCAGCGCATGTGGGTGCATGCAACCTTGGAATGGGCACCATGGAGATTCTGTTTGTGTGGGAGAACCTGAACGTTAATCATTACATGCTTAAGGTGCGATGCGGTGGGAGGGATCAAAAGACACAGGGCATGGTTGGGGCGGGTGCATGGCATGCAAGGGCGTGGGAATGGGGGTGATGGCATGGGGTAGGAGGGCAGCAGTTTTGCGGTGCAATCGCCGCTTGACATGTTCACCCTTGTTCACCCCTCTTCACCTACTTTCCACCCCTCATCACCCTTTTCCACGACACAGAACGCAGTGACAGGCGAGACAGTACTCAAGAACCTGAGCAAGGAGCAGGAGGCTGATCAGAGCAACTTCAGAGACGCCGAGACAGGAGCAGAGCTGGAGGTGCAGGAGAAGACGTCACTCTTTATCCATCTGTACCCCTCTGGACTTTTCCTCACCGCTCTCCAATCCTCTCCACCCCCTTCCACCCCTTTCCACACTACAGAACGCAGTGACAGGCGAGATTGTTATCAAGAATTTGAGCAAGGAGCAGGAGGCAGACCAGAGCAACTTCAGAGACGCCGAGACAGGGGCCGAGCTGGAGGTGCAGGAGAAGACGTCCCTGCTGGAGTGGTTTGCAGAGGGGTACAAGAAGTTTGGGTGCACGCTGGAGTTTGTGACCAACAAGAGCCAGGAGGGCTCGCAGTTCTGCCGAGGGTTTGGCGGCATCGGCGGGATACTGAGGTATCAGCTGGACATGAGAACGTTTGACGAGGCCAGTGATGACGACGCTGTTTATGATGATGACTCGGATTAGGGCGGTGGTTGGGTGGTGGTAACGTTTCCTGAATAGGGGGGTTTGGAGGGAGCGGCGGGGCCGGTGGGATTGGCGGGATTCTGCGGTACCAGCTGGATGTGAGAACGGTTGACGAGGCGAGCGACGACGATGCTGGTTACGATGATGACTCGGATCAGGGCAGTTGCATGGTAGTGGCGTTGGCTGGATGGGCGGGTTCTGGAGGTATCAGCTGGATATGGGAACGTTTGACGAGGCGAGCGACGATGTCGCTGATTAGGGGCTGCAGTTTTGAGTGGAGCACACTGCGGGAGTGGCCTGATGGGGAGGAGGGAGGAGGGATGGGGAAGGGGGGGCGGTGGTGAATGGCGGGTGGGGTTAGGTTGAGAAGAATGAGGAGGGCAGGCAGGGGCGGAAGAGCAAGCAGAGTGGGGATCGCAGCGGTGGTCAGTGGTGGGGTGGTGTGCGCAGAGGTGGCTAGCTCTGACCTGAATGAACAGGAAGGTGGAGACAGGAGCTTACGATAGGCAGAGGGGAGGAGGAGATGGGTAGAAAGGGGCAGAGAATCTGTGAGGCAGGCAGGAGCGGTCCATTTGCTGCCTCAAATTCAACCGTGCCTGTGCTACCGCGGCGTGATTGGGAGTATTGCAGTGGGAGACTCGGGAGGGGATCTGCTGTGGCTGGCTGTTTTGCGGTGTTTGTTACCTGCTCCCCTGCAGCATCCTGCTCGTTCGAGCTTCCATCCATAGGAGCTCGAATTGAGCTCCAGATAGGTGTCATACATGGCTCCTCAGTTTTGTTTGTGCTGCTTGGGTGGTGGTACGGGATAGGAGGTAGATTCCCACTTGTGATCTGCACCGTTGAGTTATCCTGGGTGTAATCACAGCCATTTGATTTTCTCTCTTGCCGTGTCAGCATGGCTGTGGGGGTGGCGTGGCGTGTTGGTGAAGGCAACTGGTTTGATAGGGCGGCCATGGATACATGATGGCATGCCTGTTGGCATGTGTAATGCATGCATGCATGTGTATTGGCATGCATATTGGCATGCACATAGGCATGTACACTGGCATGCATGTTGTGTGCATGCGATTGTGATGTGTGTGCGCTGTTCGCCTGCTGCCGTCTGGCTTTCTGCTGGTGTTTTTGGCACATGGGTGGATGCACCCTTTCAGCCTAGAGTAGATAAGGTGCACCTCAACTTTATGGTAGCGCTCCTGCCCTGCTTCTCAGCACTACAGTATACCGTATGTAGTTAGCATCAAAGGATTGGCTTCACTATGCCTGGCTGAGCTTTGTTCAAACTACAATGATTGTTGCCCTTTTCATGTACCGTACCGTAATTGGCTGTGTGCCAGACCTTTATAAGGTCACAAATTGTCCAGACTTTTGAGAATCGTCATCTTTAGAGGCCTACACACACATCCAGCTGGCAAGATACCGTAAGAAGTCCATCCTACTATGTGGTATGAGGAATACACCAGCACCTGAAGATTCAACTAAGCTGTGAGCATTATAATTATGATGTGTTGCACGAGCACGTGCACTGCATTCCTCGGGATGGGATGAGGCCTCTGGAAGGCGGGAGCCGTGCCAATTGCGTGCCCCGGCTTGGCCTCGGTTTGGTGGAGGGTTTATTTTGACAGTGATTATTATTATTATTTGTATGTGCTACATTTGCGTTACTTGTTAATGTGGTGTTCCTTTGCGTTGCAACTCAATTTTCCCACGTGATTTCATCATTCCGTGTCTTCCCCTGGATCCAGCAGGGATGGAGGCTGTGTATGTGGTCGTTACTCCAGCCACACAAGCAAATATCAAGAAAACTGTATTTTCACAACCGCAAAACTTTGTGTGGTGTCTGCGGGGGGGTGTCTTGTGAAAGGTAGGCGTCAGAATGGAAATATCTCCTTTGCAATGAAATTTTTAGTTTCGAGAACTTATGAAACACAATCTACCCAAGAACCGCAACTATGCCAGCCCTCCACTTTCACATGCTTTAGGCGTGTGGCGGTGCGCTGGACCCCCCAGATCCTGACGCGGATCACATGGGGCTGATTATTTATTTCTTTGTGATTGGTTGAAGTTGTCTTTTCGAGTTTCTCAGGGATATGATTAATTGCGCACTAACATATCCGCGATTCAATTGGAGGAGCAGAAATATAGCCTGACAAGGTTGACCTTCCCTCTTGGCAGAAGTCCACTCTTCTTGCACGATAAATTTGCCATGAATCAAGTCGGGCAAACAGCATATTCGTGACGTGGCGAAGGCTGGTCTCATAATCATTGTGCTGACTGATTGACAAAAATTACGGAAAATTAGTACAGTAGTGTGATATTACAGTAAGGTTCTGCTAGTTTTGTTTTAGAAATGTTTCTGGATAACCTTCGACATGTTGGCGGGATTGGTGACGTGAATGGAGGGATTTCACCCGTCCACACCCCCACGTGGAGCACTTATCTCAGCTCGTCTGACGTAATGGCACTCAAATTCCCTCGCTGGCGTGGCGGCCGATGGCTATTCGTCGTCGGTTGGTCTATTCAAGCTGGGGGAGGCTGCTGCTGAACAGCATCTCTGTCTCTCGACTTTTGACTGAAAGGGATGATACTGTACAGTGCCAAGAGATTGGTCACGCCATTACAGGACCTCACGCAGCACTGCCAGCGGAGATATTCCGCTCGCTTCTTGGAACAAACCTGACCGAACATTTGTGAGCCATAACTCCTCGTCCTTGGCGGGATCGTCTGGGATTGGTCGAGTGTACACGAAATTGTACACTAATGTGGCGAATGTGCGCCTCCTCACGGGGAAATCTTGCTGCAGCATCTTCGTTCTGCCCAGCTGCCTGCAGTGCAGACTGGTAAAGTACGGCTGGCCGTTTGAGGTGGCATTGTATCGAGACCGCCGCTGACGCGGAGATTTTACGAGGTGAAACTGAAGCGCCAGCGTAGCGGGGAAAGGCTGACGGAGTGCATTGCATCCCCATATCTCCCGCGCGGTAGCGCGCCGAACCCAGTCAAACTCCATTGCGCTGAGCCCCGCGCTCGCCGCTTCCCCCGACCACACCCCATCCCCCAACCCAGCCTCCAATGGCCTCTGGCTTGAACCCTCAACTCCGCTCCGCTCCACTCCGCTGCACTGTGGCAACTCGTCGCTGCTTCCTTCGTCTCCCACCCGACCCCTCGCCTCACCCTGCCTCCATTCTTCTCGATTCTCCTGATGCTTCCCGATTTCCCCTCTTGCCGCTCTGCCCGCCCGCACCCCAGCAGCACGGCAGAACTGCCTCAGTTCCCCTCCCCCGTCCCAATCGAGTCCACTCCACTCTTTCCTCCCATCACACGTCACACAGCGTGGCTGGGTCTGGGTTTTGGGACTGGAGTGGGATGCGACGGGAGGTGCATTTGGACAGGAGATTGAGAGGTGCAGCTGCACGCAACCAATTCCCAGCCCCGATTCATCAGTCCAGCCCTCACACACCTTAACTGCCAGAATACATAGCCGTACTGAGCTGCAGTCTGTCGTCAATGCCACAATCCCAGCACGCTCCATCTCCCACGTGAACCGTTTCATAGTGGACTCACACAACCGTTTTGTCAACGTTTCTACTTCCCTGCATTCTTGCTCGTTACCATTTCTCATTATCTCTTAACCCTAGTATTGTATCACTATCTCGTAGCGTCGAGCACCAATTTCCAGTTTTAGTTCATCTAGAAGTGGCTTCTAATGGGGCTCCCCGTGAATCACGCTCGTGCTCCCGTAAACGACGCCAATGTTCGCGCCTGGTTGCGAGGCTCCATCGACGACGCAATGTGTGACGTCGCTCACTCGTTACAGTCACAAGCAAACGACATAATGGACACAGATATCCAGCCCGAGCACACCTCATCGCTCCCTAGATCCTACGGAAGCCATTTCCCATTCAGCATTTCCCGGTTTTTCAGCCGGAAAGGCTCCCGTCGAGCGCTTAATTCGCGGCCCGACCATCCCGATGCGGCGTCGGACCTAGCGAGCGGAAATGGCTCGCTGAGCGCCATGGAGGACGCGGCGGTTCGCCACCACATGAGCTGCATGCTTCCTGAGTGAGTAGGAGTGCTATATATTGCAACGCCTGCGAGTGCAATACTATCCAATGCAATCCGTGCGAGCGCTGCAAGAGATTCGGGAATGGGTGAGAAAAGTAAATGTTCCTGGTCAGCTTGTAGTTAACTTCCTGTTTCCCTATTTTTCAATTTCCACGAGAGCTTAGAGGGTGGAAGTGAGGACGGGAGAGGTTGGAGCATCGAGAGTGGGAGAGCTACGCGTCAGGCCGACACAGCATCAGTCCCTACCTTAGTTTGAAAGGCTCTTGTCTAACCCATGTCTCTTCCACTCCGTTTCTCGACCCTCGCTGTCCCTCCCTGCAGCTATGTTGCCAAGAATTATTCGCGGTCCGACGTGCTGCAGCACATGGACCTTCTTAAGGAGGCATCGGCGCTTAAGGAGGGCGTGCCTGCGCTGCGGCTCGACATGCGCGCGACCGACAGCGGCGATTCGACGACGACTGGCGACGAGAGCGAGACGGACGACTCGTCGATTGGCGGGTTTTCGTTGTCGTCAGTGGACGACGTTTCGTGCACGGGCATCATGAACATCAGTTTCGCGTGTAGCGCTCGCGTTATCTGCAAGCGGAGCCTGACCGCGGCCTTCCAGCGCACGGGCGTCCGCGTTTTAGACTGCTCCGTGTTCCGAACAATCCACGGGTACACATTGGGATTTTTCACCGTCCGAGCGGCTATATCGCAGATATCGAAGCGGCAAATAGAGGAGATATTTACGGTCGCCGGCAAGCAGACCTCGCGACCCCGCTCCGACACGTCCATCCCGACCACAATCCACAACTGCCAGTCAGAACTGTCCACGTCAGCGCTCAATAGACCAACCCTCATTTCCGACGGCTCGGCGCGGAAGCCGCCTGTTAGTCCACGTCTCACTACTCGAGTTCCATCGTCGAAGAGCGTCGCAGGCGACGCGAACGACCTCCTGCAAGTGTTACTGTTCAACAGCCGCAGCGCGTCGAATCAATTCAGCGAGTTCCTCCTCAACCCGCTCAAACTCGAAATCGGCGCGCTTATCGCCGTGGGCGCGTCGGGCGAGGTGCGTCGCGGCAGCTACGAGGGAATGGCTGTGGCTGTGAAGATAATGAAGGGTGACACTATCGATCGCCATGCCAGCGCGACGGAATTTCGGCAGGAAGTGCAGACGCTCATGTCGTGCGACGAGTGTCCGCGACTGCTTGAGTTCGTCGGCGTGTGCCTCGACACGCGCCGTCGCATGTGCATCGTCACGCGACTCATGGAAGGAGGAACGCTCAGCGACCTTGTGCGACGTCGCCACGGCGAGCGGCTCCCGCTCGGCGACGCCCTGCGAATCGCACACGACGTCGCAGAAGGCATGGCGTTTCTCCACGCGCGCGGCGTGATTCACCGCGACCTGAAATCCGCCAACGTTCTCCTCGATTCCGCGGGCCGCGCGGTCGTCGGCGATTTCGGCGTGGCGCGGCTGAAAGGGGAGCGCGGCGACATGACTAAGGAGGTCGGAACTTATCGTTGGATGGCGCCTGAAGCGTTCGGCACGAGCGCGTGGCACGTGACGCACAAGAGCGACGTGTACAGCTTCGGAGTCGTGCTATGGGAACTCGTCGCGTGTCAGGTTCCGATTGAGGATTATACCCCGTTACAAGCAGCGGTGGCGGTGGCGCTTAACGGATTGCGGCCGACGATCCCGGCGGATTGCACCGCGGGGCTGCGACGGCTGATTGAGCGGTGCTGGGATAAGTGCCCCGAGGCGCGCCCCGAGTTTGACGAGGTCGTGAAGGAAATTGCGGCGCTGCAGGAGCAGTTTTGCCCGGGGATGGCTGTGTCTGCACAGTAGGGGCAAGCACTAACGTGACTGGTACGGTTTACGGTATACGGTATGCGGTACTAGGCGTTTGACCAGCTGTGGCTACGATCCTGCTGATGGTCCCTGAACCGTGCTGGGGACCGCGTGGAGCTAAGCAACCAGTGTGGAACAGGTGGGGAGATAAGGCTCACGGCATGGGCGCAAGCCTTGTGAGCGGGACGCTGGAACGGAGTGCTGGGAAGGGAGATAGCGAGACGAGATACGACCACTGCTTGTACAGAGGACAGGAGTTATCGGTCACCTGTGCTCGGCTGCTTTCAGTTTAGTGGGCTTCTCACATGCAAATTTGTTCAGTTCAGAAGGGTATACGGAGCACAATGGCGGCCTTCGTCCGTAGCAGTGGTGTGGAGATGCACACAAGTGCACATGCCAATGTACAGAGTCCGTCATGACAAGGCTTTTGAAAATGATGCAGAATTGTTATTACCCTCATGCTGAGGTCAACTCAAGGCATTGCTGCCTTAGATGTGTTGTGTTGTGAGCTCCATTTCTTGCTTTGCCTCTTGTGCTTCTCTGGCTTGAATGGTTTCTGCTTGACTGACTCCTCATCAATGACTTGCATATACTAGGCTGCTTTTCTCATCAAGCAAATGAGCAAGGTCCAGTACATGTGCTCATTCTATGGAGAAACTGTTGGTAGTAGCGTTGTGAACACGACTGATTTTCCTGTTGTCTCAACTTAAAGCAAAACGGTTTCACTAGAACCGGAGGTGTTTTGCAGCATCCTCAATCTCTGGAAATTACCATGACGGATTGGTGGATTTGAGCATAACCTAACCATGTGGGCGACCACGTGGTGAGGAGGAGATGCCTGCTGCACTCCAAATTTCGGCTACACGTGTATAAGACGGTCTGACGGAGGTTGACCTCATATCGCCGTGTCCGAAAGCTGATGCCGTATGATGAATTGCCAGGTGGAATGTTTATCGTGTTCTGCGCGTGGTCGCCGCCGAAATGAGAGCACGATGATTTGTCGTAAAGCCACCGAGGCATGCCTGGGTTTAGCGGAGGCAGCAATGCAGTTCGTGAACTGGGCTTGGTTCGAAGCTGAGGTATGAGGCTGCCCTGGATCCGAACCTCTTACCAGCAGGGGTCTTGATTCGTTTTGGGCCACCCTGTCAGATCGAAGTTTCAGGTTGAAGTCACACTGCCACTGCAGCGTGGCTGCCGCGTCGTACCCTAGAAATGGCAGGGTGTTAGAATTTATCAGGTCTGGTATGGCAGGGTTAAATATTGAACTAGGCTGCAGCGGTCCAATCTGCGTGAGTGTCTCCCGTGGAAAGGACTTAGCCAGTTTTCGAGAACATCCGATGCTTGTTCTGGTGTAGTGTGAGTGTCTCTGTGGAAAGGACTTGACCAGTTTTCGAGCACATCCGAGGCTTGTTCTGGTGTATGTGTGAGTGTCTCCGTGTCAAGGACTTCGCCAGTTTTCGAGTGGTTACGGGAAAAAACACTCAGAGTGCTGCCACTACCGAACTCGGCCTAGGCAGTGTGCTACAAGAACAAACAACTGCAAAACAAGGGTCAAATTTGCACGATGCCTGATCGCGACAGGGTGGGAGAACCTTTGAATCCTGTATTTACAGTGTGGGTTTGAAAAACGACCCTGAAAAACAGGCTAATCAGGGAAAAATGCCCTGCAATCCTGAGGCCTGACCAGACATTTATCCCGTTTCATCTAAACCACAGCTCTATCAGCCTCTGACACGTCTTCCTCTCCGAGGCGAAAAAATATCAGGTATGGCAGCGCAAAACCACATCCCCTGAGCTACTCCGAGCCAGTCAGCTTCGGCTTTGCGGGGTCGCAGATTTCTGCCAACCAGAATCCGCGCGGCCCTGCGCCAATCTCCCGCCTTCCGCATCCCGCTCCGCCTGTCTCTCCCTGCCTGAACCACTGTCTCGCGCATCTCATTTCCGCCCCCGCTACTTCGCGCGCGCGCCTCTGCGCCAATCAGCCCCATTCATTATTGCTATGGCTGCTCTGCTCCGCATGTTCATCTCGCGCATCTCGCGTCCCTTATATTTTCCTAGTTTCTATTCCTTTGTGTACGGGTCTCCTTGGCATGCTTCCCTGAATTCTTTCCGCTCAGTCCTCATCTCCACTCACAGAGCTGCTGCTTCGGCGTCGTTCGAATTTCTCCCACCAAGAGGTTCGAGTTCTGGTTCGCCGTCGTCGCTTCCTCACTGATTACTCTGACATCTCAAAATAGTTCAGTCGACCAGATCTCATCTGCAGCATTTCTTTTCAGCTCTCTCGCGTATATATTTATTCCAGTGCCTATCGCAGCGCCAGCTTCCACCTGACGCTGTTCAGCCATTGCCGGCTCTTCCGTTGCGATCATGGCATCTCTGCGACAATGTATATCGCCGGCGATCTCATCCGTTCAAGACCCAGCGCTTTCGTCGTCTCGAGATCATCAAGCCACCCTCCATACGCCATTCTTCGGCCTCTCATTGTCCAATGTCCCGCAATCGGGGACACTCCACGTGTCCGCTCCCACCGCGATCGGCGCAGGCGTCTCCTCGCAGCGCCTCACTGTCACTGCGAAGGCGAATCCGAAGCATCAGGAGCATCAGCAGCCGTCGAAGAAACCAGGATCAACGACCAAGATCGCTTCTCGCCGCCAGACCAACACCCGAGTCGCGGTTCCAGGCTACCAAGGCGGGAACCGAACGGAAGGCGACGCGTCGTCGGACGAGGACGCGGCGCGCGCGGAGGATCTGCGCGACGCGCTGAAGGAGGCTCAGTTCGTGCGGTGGTTCCGCGAGGCGTGGCCGTACATCCAGGGCCACCGCGGCAGCACGTTCGTCATCGTCGTTCCCGGCGACGTCGTCGCGAACCGTCAGATCTTCGACTCCATCCTGCAGGTTCGACCCCGTTTTCGTTGTCCCCGTTATAATGAGGTGTGGAAATAAGAGCAGTTGAATCCATTCAGCAGGTTCGACCCCGGATCCCTGGAATGTGAACAATTAGGGTTGCTGTCATGCTCCCCGTTGTAAGAACAAATGTGAATTACAGGGTCTGACTCGATTGTGCAGGTTCGACCTCGGAACTGTCCTGAACCGACTCAAACAGAGAGCTTTTCCTTCCCCCTCCGCTTCCCGCTCTTCGACCTCCCTCTTTCCGCTCAACAGGATGTCGCGCTACTGCAAGGGTTGGGGGTGCGCATCGTGCTCGTGCCGGGGAGCCACGTGCAGATCAACGCTCGACCCAACCCCTACTCCTCACTTCCGCCTCCCCCCCTTCCTTCCCCCTTCGGTTCCCCCTCTTGCAGGACGTCGCGCTGCTGCACGGGCTAGGGGTGCGCATAGTTCTCGTGCCGGGGAGCCACGTGCAGATCAACGAGCTCCTCGAGGAGCGCGGCGTCGCGTCTGTGTTTCACGGCGCGTATCGCGTGACGGACACGGAGGCGCTGGCGGCGGCGATGGAGGCGTCGGGGCGCACGCGCGTGGACATCGAGGCGAAGCTGTCGCGCGGCCCGGTGATCCCCGTGCTAAGGCGGCACGGCGAGAGCGAGAAGTGGCACGAAGTGGGCATCAGCGTCGCCAGCGGCAACTTCGTGCACGCCAAGGTGCGGCGCGGTTGAGTGCGGTTCGGTGGAGTGCTGAGGTGGTGTGGGATGGAATGGCAAGGTGGTGCGCGGTTGGATACGGTTGGATGAAATGGCAATGTCACTGTAACCTGACACGATTTTCTTCGCCATTGCATCACGCCTCCTCATATTCTGTCGCCACGAATGTCGTTCTCTTTGTTGTGTGCGGTTCTGTGCGGTGGAGTGCAGCGGCGGGGCGTGGTGGGCGGCGTGGACTACGGGGCGACAGGCGAGGTGAAGCGCGTGGACGTGGCGCGCATCAGGAGCCGCCTCGACAGCAGCTGCGTCGTTCTCCTCAGCAACCTCGGGTTCACCCCGGCCGGAGAGGTTCTAAACTGCAAGTGAGTGCAACGAAACGATTCAGTAATGACAGGGATTGAACCTGCCTTCCCTCCACAGCAGCTGCGTCGTGCTGCTGAGCAAGCTCGGGTTCACCCCCGCGGGCGAGGTTCTCAACTGCAAGTGAGTGAGGTGCCGTGTTGTGCTGCTACTCATTCGTCAGTAGTAGCATGGGGTGCTCCTGCCTGTCTTCCCTCCTCTGCAGCTGCGTCGTGCTGCTGAGCAACCCCGGGTTCACTCCGGCCGGAGAGGTTCTAAACTGCAAGTGAGCGCTGCGTTGCTCTGCTTCTACTCACTCGTCAGCAGCGTCTGCTCTTGCTCTGCTGATCCGCCTGCGGGACGGCGCAGTCGCGGACAACCGCGGGCGGCTGATTCGGTGGGTCACTCAACACACCCACACCCGCTCTCCCCCGTTCCGCTCCCCTTCCATCGTCCACTCTCATCCCGTCCCTTTTGGTCCCTTCCCGTCGCTCGCAGCACGTACGAGGTGGCCACGGCATGCGCCATAGGCCTGGGAGCGGACAAGCTGATCTGCCTGCTGGACGGCGCAGTGACTGACAACCGGAGCCAGGAAGCTCAACGCACCCACATCCCCCCCTGCCCTTCCCACTCCTCGCAGCACATACGAGGTAGCTACAGCGTGCGCCATAGGCCTGGGAGCGGACAAGCTCATCTGCCTGCTGGACGGGGCAGTGGCGGACAACCGCGGGCGGCTGATTCGGTGGCTGACGCTGCAGCAGGCGGATGTGATTATAAGGAACCGCGCCACGCAGAGCTACACTGCCGCGGAGTACGTTAAGGCGGTTGCCGGGGAGGAGTATATTCGGAGCCTCGGGCTCGTCGGCGCGCAGGGCGGCGCGGGGGGCGCGGGGGAGGGGGACGGCGCGGGGGAGGGGAGGCGGAAGAAGGGGAAGCGGGGGAAGAAGAAGCGGGGGGAGGGATGGGGGGAGGGGTCGGATGGAGCAGGGGGAGGGGGAGGAGGAGGAGGAAGAGGAGGAGGAGGAAGAGGAGGAGGAGGTGACAGCGAGTATGGAGAGATGGAAGGCGCAGCGCGCGCTGTATAGCATGAGCTTTGAGAAGCCTGGCCCGCCCCTCCCCACGTTCAGTGCCAACGGCGCGGGCGCAGGGGGGTTGGGCGTGCGGGAGAGCTGGGGGAATGGTGCAGTGGCGAACGCGGGGTATGGGGGTGGTGCTGCGCGCGGTTGGGGAGGGAATGGCGGGGCGGGGAGGGCGGAGGAGAGGCGGGGGTTCGCGGTGGGAGGAGAGGAGCGGTCGGTGCATCGATACGGATTTCTATCAGAGCTCACTGCTGCTGTTTATGCGTGCCGGGTGAGTGAAGTGGGGTTGCTGGATGGATGATGGGTGGCGGGTGAGTGGGGAATGGCAATGAAGGGGTGGGTGACACAAGGAGCAGTTGGAGCAGATATCGTTTCAGGTCACAGCTCACTGCTGCTGTGTATGCGTGTGGGTGAGTGGGGGGAGGTGCTGGGTGACTGATGGGTGGCGGGTGAGTGTGGGGTGCGGTGAGGGAGTGGTGATGGTGTGAAGTGCAGCGGTATGGGTTCCTGTCAGAGCTCCCTGCTGCTGTGTATGCATGCCGGGTGAGTGAAGGGGGGGTGCTGGGTGAAAGATGGGTGGCTGCGGGTGATGGGTTTGCTGTGGGTGGAGAGGAGTGGTCGGGTATGGGTTCTTGTCAGAGCTCGCTGCTGCTGTGTATGCCTGCCAGGTGAGTGAGGGGAGGTGCTGGGTGACTGATGGGTGGGGAGTGGGGGGTGGCGATATGAAGAGTGCAGAGCAGCGACACGGGTTCCTATCAGAGCTCACTGCTGCTGTCTGTGCCTGGGTGGGTGAGTGGGGGCGGGTGGGAAGAGAGAGGACAGTGCAGTGGGAGGCACGCTTCTGCTTTGTGCCTTCGACCCTCCTCATCCCTTGTCACCCAACTTCATCCCTCTGTACCCCTTCATATCAGGGCGGCGTGGCGGGTGCATCTACTGGACAGTGCAGTGGAGGGCACGCTGCTGCTGTGCCTTCGATTTGACACTCTTCATCCCTTGTCACCCCTCTTCACCCCTCGCTACTCCTCAATAACAGGGCGGGGTGCGGCGGGTGCATCTATTAGACAGTGCAGTGGAGGGCACGTTGCTACTGGAGCTGTACACGCGGGACGGCGTCGGCACCATGGTGTCCAGGTGAGGGGTGGGGGGGTGAGGTGAGGGATTGGCAGGTGGGATTGGCAGGTGGGGTTTGCACACCTGCTTCACATTGCCGCTGGAGCTGTACACGCGGGACGGCGTCGGCACCATGGTGTCCAGGTGAGGGGTGGTCGAGGGGTTGTCGTGGTGAGGGGTGGGATTGGCGGTTGGCGTGTAATCTACTGTCGAGACGTCTCGAGAGTCGGTTCACACGTAATCTGCAGCTATCTGTACCACATATCTGTACCACATATCTGTACCACATATCTGTACCACATATCTGTACCACATATCTGTACCACATATCTGTACCACATATCTGTACCACCTATCTGCGCAACCTATCTGCGCAACCTATCTGCGCAACCTATCTGCGCAACCTATCTGCGCAACCTATCTGCGCAACCTATCTGCGCAACCTATCTGCGCAACCTATCTGCGCAACCTATCTGCGCAACCTATCTGCGCAACCTATCTGCGCAACCTATCTGCGCAACCTATCTGTGCAACCTATCTGTGCAACCTATCTGTGCAACCTATCTGTGCAACCTATCTGTGCAACCTATCTGTGCAACCTATCTGTGCAACCTATCTGTGCAACCTATCTGTGCAACCTATCTGTGCAACCTATCTGTACAACCTATCTGTACAACCTATCTGTACAACCTATCTGTACAACCTATCTGTACAACCTATCTGTACAACCTATCTGTACAACCTATCTGTACAACCTATCTGTACCACATATCTGTACCACATATCTGTACCACATATCTGTACCACATATCTGTACCACATATCTGTACCACATATCTGTACCACATATCTGTACCACATATCTGTACCACATGTCTGTACCACCTATCTGCGCAACCTATCTGCGCAACCTATCTGCGCAACCTATCTGCGCAACCTATCTGCGCAACCTATCTGCGCAACCTATCTGCGCAACCTATCTGCGCAACCTATCTGCGCAACCTATCTGCGCAACCTATCTGCGCAACCTATCTGCGCAACCTATCTGCGCAACCTATCTGCGCAACCTATCTGCGCAACCTATCTGCGCAACCTATCTGCGCAACCTATCTGCGCAACCTATCTGCGCAACCTATCTGCGCAACCTATCTGCGCAACCTATCTGCGCAACCTATCTGCGCAACCTATCTGCGCAACCTATCTGCGCAACCTATCTGTGCAACCTATCTGTGCAACCTATCTGTGCAACCTATCTGTGCAACCTATCTGTGCAACCTATCTGTGCAACCTATCTGTGCAACCTATCTGTGCAACCTATCTGTACAACCTATCTGTACAACCTATCTGTACAACCTATCTGTACAACCTATCTGTACAACCTATCTGTACAACCTATCTGTACAACCTATCTGTACAACCTATCTGTACCACATATCTGTACCACATATCTGTACCACATATCTGTACCACATATCTGTACCACATATCTGTACCACATATCTGTACCACATATCTGTACCACATCTGTACCACATGTCTGTACCACCTATCTGCGCAACCTATCTGCGCAACCTATCTGCGCAACCTATCTGCGCAACCTATCTGCGCAACCTATCTGCGCAACCTATCTGCGCAACCTATCTGCGCAACCTATCTGCGCAACCTATCTGCGCAACCTATCTGCGCAACCTATCTGCGCAACCTATCTGCGCAACCTATCTGCGCAACCTATCTGCGCAACCTATCTGCGCAACCTATCTGCGCAACCTATCTGCGCAACCTATCTGCGCAACCTATCTGCGCAACCTATCTGCGCAACCTATCTGCGCAACCTATCTGCGCAACCTATCTGCGCAACCTATCTGCGCAACCTATCTGCGCAACCTATCTGCGCAACCTATCTGCGCAACCTATCTGCGCAACCTATCTGCGCAACCTATCTGCGCAACCTATCTGCGCAACCTATCTGCGCAACCTATCTGCGCAACCTATCTGCGCAACCTATCTGCGCAACCTATCTGCGCAACCTATCTGCGCAACCTATCTGCGCAACCTATCTGCGCAACCTATCTGCGCAACCTATCTGCGCAACCTATCTGCGCAACCTATCTGTGCAACCTATCTGTGCAACCTATCTGTGCAACCTATCTGTGCAACCTATCTGTGCAACCTATCTGTGCAACCTATCTGTGCAACCTATCTGTACAACCTATCTGTACAACCTATCTGTACAACCTATCTGTACAACCTATCTGTACAACCTATCTGTACAACCTATCTGTACAACCTATCTGTACAACCTATCTGTACAACCTATCTGTACAACCTATCTGTACAACCTATCTGTACAACCTATCTGTACAACCTATCTGTACAACCTATCTGTACAACCTATCTGTACAACCTATCTGTACAACCTATCTGTACAACCTATCTGTACAACCTATCTGTACAACCTATCTGTACAACGGCAGCTTACATGGCAAGCTGGTGTAGGCTCATCTCCTTGTCTCGCCATTCCCCGCCCCTTCCCCTCTTCCCCCTTTTCCTCCTCTTCACCCCCTTCCATTTCTTCCCCCCTTTTCTCCACCGCGACCCCAACAGCAGATCAGGGCACGCAGGCATGAGCTCAACTCTCCATTCCCTCTCCCTTCTTCCCACGCCCCCCCACTCCCTGCAGTGATCTATACGAGGGCGCGCGGGCAGAGCAGGTGACGGACATGCCCGGGAATCAGAGCGCTGCTTAAACTCCCCACAGCCTTGTTACTTCCCTCATCTTTCCCTTACTTCCACTCCCCGTGCCCTGATGCCTCCTTGCCCCCAACAGTGATCTATACGAGGGCACGCGAGCAGCGCAGGTGACGGACATGCCCGGCATCAGATCGCTGCTGGAACCCCTGGAGGCCGCTGGGGTGCTGCTGCCCAGAGGGGACGAGCAGGTGAGAGGGGGTTTGACTCGGTGAGAGTGTGGGTGTGAGCGCACTCCAGCCCACAGCAGCAGGTGACGGACATGCCCGGCATCAGAGCGCTGCTGGAACCCCTGGAGGCCGCTGGTGTGCTGCTGCCGCGAGGGGACGAGCAGGTGAGAAGGGGTTTGACTCGGTTTGACTCGGTGAGAGTGTGGGTGTGAGCGCACTCCAGCCCACAGCAGCAGGTGACGGACATGCCCGGCATCAGAGCGCTGCTGGAACCCCTGGAGGCCGCTGGTGTGCTGCTGCCGCGAGGGGACGAGCAGGTGAGAAGGGGTTTGACTCGGTTTGACTCGGTGAGAGTGTGGGTGTGAGCGCACTCCAGCCCACAGCAGCAGGTGACGGACGTGCCCGGCATCAGAGCGCTGCTGGAACCCCTGGAGGCCGCTGGTGTGCTGCTGCCGCGAGGGGACGAGCAGGTGAGAAGGGGTTTGACTCGGTGTGACTGGGTGTGAGGGCCCTGCTGTCCATATCAGCGCAGGTGACGGACATGTCCGGCATCAGAGCATTGCTGGAACCCCTGGAGGCCGCTGGGGTGCTGCTGCCCCGAGGGGACGAGCAGGTGAGGGGGAAGGATGTGAGTGTAAGTGTGTTGTTGTGAGTGAATCCCAAGGGAGAACGACAGCAACAACCGAGCGTGTGTACATTGACGTGAATCTCCCTCCTCATCCTCTCGCTCATCTTCCTCGCATTGTCCCTCCTTGCTTTCTCCACCCTCGCATTCCCCGCCCTCAGCTGCGCAGGGAGCTCCCGTTCTTCACGGTGGTGGAGAGGGACGGGCACATCATAGCCTGTGCGCGCATGATGAATATTACACCTCACACTCACACTCTTCTTCCTCCATTCCCCACCACCCCTCTCGTTGCCCCACCAGCTGCGCAGGGAGCTCCCGTTCTTCACGGTGGTGGAGAGGGATGGCCACATCATCGCATGTGCGGCGCTCTTCCCCTTCCCCTCCGCGCGCATGGCTGAAGTCGCTGCCTTTGCCGTCTCGCCTGCGTCACGGGGGAATGGGCGCGGAGACAACCTGCTAGGTGCGTTGTGATGTGCCGTGCTGTGGCATGGGTGAGTGGTGGCATGGGTGAGTGATGGCATGGGTGAGTGGTGGCATGGGTGAGTGGTGGCATGGGTGAGTGGTGGCATGGGTGAGTGGTGGCATGGGTGAGTGGTGGCATGGGTGAGTGGTGGCATGGGTGAGTGGTGGCATGGGTGAGTGGTGGGATGAGTGTGGTGGTGGGATGAGTGTGGTGGTGGGATGAGTGTGGTGGTGGGATGACTGTGGTGGTGGGATGAGTGTGGTGGTAGGATGAGTGTGGTGGTGGGATTGTATCACTGTTTGCATTCACCCAACGCACCTCACCTTCCTTCCCATCATATCCCCTTGCCCCCTCTCGCCCCCTCTCCTTTGCAGCATGCTTGGAGAAGCGGGCAGTGGGCATGGGCATGGAGAAGCGGTACAAGGGAACCGGCACCTCTCACCTTCCCTCCTCTCACTGTCTCCCCTTGCACCCGTTTCGCCCCCACCTGGCAGCCTACTTGGAGAAGCGGGCAGTGGGCATGGGCATGGAGAAGCGTCTCTCTTCCCATCTTCTCACCTTCCTTTCCATCGGCTTTCCTTTGCCTCCGCTCGCTCTTCCCCCTTTGCCAGCCTACTTGGAGAAGCGCGCAGTGGACATGGGCATGGAGAAGTGGTGCAAGAGAAGCGGCACTTCTCACCTTCCCTCCTCTCGCTGTCTCCCCTTGCACCCTCCCCTCCTTTTCTCCCCGGCAGCCTACTTGGAGAAGCGTGCAGTGGACATGGGCATGGAGAAGCTGTTCCTCCCCTCCCACCTTCTCACCTTCTCGCCCATCGTCTCTCCTTGCCTCTCCACCTCTTCTGCCAGCCTACTTGGAGAAGCGCGCAGTGGACATGGGCATGGAGACGCTGTTCCTTCCCTCCCAGTCTCTCACCTTCTCTCCCATCATCTCTCCTTGCCTCCTCCCACTCTCCCCTATGCCAGCCTACTTGGAGAAGCGTGCAGTGGACATGGGCATGGAGAAGCTGTTCCTCATGACCACACGCACTGCCGACTGGTTTGTGCACCGGGGGTTCGTCCCGTTCGAGCTGGAGAGGCTACCGGAGGAGAAGCTCAAGAAGGTGGATCGTAGCCGGGGCTCCAAGAGCTTTGTGAAGGACCTGGAAGTGAGTGATGAGGAGGATGACGACGAGGAGGAGTGGGGTGATGATGGGTTGCCGACAGACCTTCCCAAGTATTCCTAGGCAGGAGTGGTGGCGGTGGTGGTGGTCAGGACTCCGGAGTACAGCACACGGCAGGATGGTCCAAGAGCTTTGTGAAGGACCTGGAAGTGAGCGACAAGGGGGATGCGGATAGTGACGACGAGTGGGATGATGCCGGGTTGCCGACCGACCTTCCCAAGTATAGTTAGGCAGGCGTGGGTGGTCGTGGTGGTGGTAATCAGGACTCGGGAGTGGAACGCACGACAGGAGGGTCCGAGAGCTTTGTGAAGTACCTCGAGGTGAGCGACGGGGGGGGGGGGGGGGGTGCGGACTGTGATGAGGAGTGGGACGATGCCGGGTTGCCGACAGACCTTCCAAAGTACTCTTAGGGTGTAGGAGTGGTTGGAGTGGTGGACGTGGTCTGGACATGAGTGGATAGCAGCCAGGAGGGGGGAGGAGCTACTTAGCTCTGTGAAGGACCTGGAAGTGAGTGACGAGGAGGATGCAGGCAGCGACGAGGAGTGGGACGATCATGGGCTGCCCACCGACCTTCCCAAGTATTCTTAGGGCGGAGGAATGGTGGAGGTGGTGTAGGTGGCCTGGACAGAGAGGGAGGGGGGGGGAGAAGTTACACGGCTCTGTGAAGGACCTGGAAGTGAGCGATGAGGAGGATGATGCGGGGCTGCTAACTGATCTTCCCAAGTATTCATAGGCTGCAGTGATGGTCACAATTAGGAGTGTGTTGCAGCCCGTGGGGCAAGAGATACGCAAAGGGCATGGAGATGAGTGGCGAGGTGGGTGCAGGTAGTAACGATGAGAGGATGACGCCGGCTAGCCGACCTATCTTCTTAGTATTATTGGGCATGGGTGGTACGGTAATGGTGGATGTTAGGAGCTGGCTAAGCATAAAAGCGTCGTAGTCACTTATATGTGCAGCTTTGTGTTTAGGTTACGAGGTGGCAATAAGGTGTCACATCAAAAGCACCATTGGTAGGAAGTAATCGTAAGAATGTAGCAGGGGAGGGAACTGGTAGGTGGAACATTTCAAGCAGGGCAATATATTCCCTGTTGATGTGTAAAATTTATTTAAGCATAATCGGGGTGGAACATGCACCCCCTCCATCGCGTAGTATGCTTGTAGTGCAACAATCTTGGTTGGGGCTTGGTTGGTGCCTTCCCCCGGCGATCGTGGTTGGTTGGTGGCTGCAATTTGATACAGATGAGGTACGGGACAGACAGCATAATAGAGCTCAGCGGACGAAAAAGGCCGCCCATTTTCGCGGGCCAGAACGGACAACCCCCCTCCTCGGGGTTGTCGACCCCACGACGACCACCGCGTGGAAAGCCCAGGCGAGCTGGCTGGGCCCAGTGCTGGTGACCCCTCGGGATTGTCGACGACCTGTCGACCTTGGGTTCCGCTGAGACAATCCCGAGAAGGTCGTCTCAGCCGCGTGACGTCATCCCAGCTCGGCACGCGGGGCCGCGATGATCGCCACGCGGCCAAAAAAGAGACGTCCGAGATCGACCCCTGGATGGCGGGGCCATCGTGGACAGCCAGGGTGGCCACGACGGGCCAACGGAAGGTGGGGGTGCTTCGCGTGGGAAAACTTCGCGCCCAAGCGTTGCCAGGTCGGTGCGTACCACACGGCCATCATCCAACGGTTGAACACATGCCCAAGGCGAAATCCGACCGTCCACTACCTCTGGCTAGGTGCAGTGGATACTGGCGGGAATGTCGGCGTCGACCAGAAGGTCTTCATCGTGGTGCCACGCGGCAGTGTCTCCCGCCCTCGAACTACCGCGCTGGGACCACGCCACGTACCGCACCACAGAGCCAGCGTGTAACACCCATGAAAGGCGCATTATGAGCGAAGCGCTTCAAGCATGCACGCCCGGTGGCACGTCGGTCACGGCGCCGCCGCACGAGCGTACATGCATAGCTGCGTCCTGCACAGGGGTTTGCGTGGAGCGCCAAGTGGAGCGGAGTCGCTCACGACCATACCAATCTGGGGTCCAATTGCAGGTCGCTCATTCTGCCTGCCGTTCTCTGTGCTTTTCATCCGTTAGCTGGCACTTAGATTTTTTCCCCGTTCCCTTGACGGCTCGCCCTTAGTTTTTTTTCCATCGGGAGATTGTCGGCAGACGTGGAACGTCGGCGTCGTCAGAATAGTCAGACGTCGGGGCCGCCGTCTCGTAGTGTTGTCTGCGATGCCGACCTGTCAGATACCGCCGACTTAGAATCGCCATGTTTCATTTCACCGACCTCACCACACCGACTTCCCATCGCGAGACCCTAGGTCGCGGTATCATGGCCGGAGCACAGCCTCGCTCGACACCGCCGCAACCGCAGCCACCACCCGCCGACGTCGACATGACGGACGTTCCGAACCCCGCTAGCCAGGGTGAGGATGTCCGCCCGGTAGATCGTACACCGAACAGTAACCCCTCGTCGACGCTGCCCCTGCTTTACGATCTCGACGCCCTGGCCCAAATCCCGAAGGGAGAGTTCACCAAGGACGTTCCACCCGCGCCCATAGGGGAGTTCACGAAACCACGCAAAGACACGTCGGCGCCCACAAATGCAGAGGAGGCCAGGCCGTCGTCGGTGCCGGACGGAGCGGGCGACCAGGATGAGGGAATGGAAGACTATTCCTCGGCGAGCGACGAGGACGACGACGCCGACCCGCGGCCCCAACGTGGCAGAGGTCCGAAGACGTTGGAAGAAAAGCTCAGGTCGGAACGTGCGCTGATTGAGGAACTTCTGGACGAGGACGAGCTAGAGGATCTGCTGAACGCGTCTGTCCCTCGAGAACAGTGGAAGGCGGCCGACTTCGTAGAGGAAGATATGGTGTACGCGTGCGTCGACGTGCTCGTGATGGAGGCATTGCGCCACCTGAAAACCATCGAGGCTAAGAGCACGCTCCAGTCCTACATCTCATGGATCTACCACTACAAGAGGTGGGCCGCGAAGATGCTCAAAGAGATAGGCGACAAGCTGCCGATCGGGGAACGAACTAGGCACGTCGACGAGATCGGGCACTGGATCCACTGCAACAAGAGCAAGGATTGGGACAACCCGAAGGTGGTCAAACGGAAGCACATCTGGCTGCACGGCCCCAAGGTCACTCCGACGCGGCTGCGCGCCTACGTCAAGTTCATGAGGCGGGAGTTCAAGATCGACGCCGAGACGAACGCGCCGGTGCCGTCCTACACGGTGCACATGATCCTCGGCCGCATCAAGGCATGCCAGATGGCGGCGAGGGTGGAAGCGACGCTGTACAAGGAGAAGGAGTTGGGCATCATGCGAGAAATCTCGGTTGTCCGGTCGGAGGTGCGGGTCATGGTCCGCACCAAAAACCAGAGGGACATCAAGTAAGTTGGCATCCAGCGCCGTTTTCTAGTCGGTGACGATTTGTTCCCATCGCCCTAATAATCCTACCGCCGTATTGTTCTGTCGACAGTAATTGCGCCGACCGTCGACGCGGCACCATCGGCGACACATACACCGCCGAACAGTTCCGCCAGATCATGACGAGGGTGCTGCCGGCTTGGGCGGCGTCGGCATGGAGCCCGCATTTCACCACTCCCTCGCAGACGCTGTGGAGGTTCCTTCTCGTCAAGGTGCTCACGCTGCTCTCCCACCACAGCCTCATGCGCGGTGCAAGCATCCGCGAGATCACGCTCCCCGACATCTTCTTGTACCGACTGGCGAGCACCTCGTCGGTAAACCCGGATAACCAGCCGGTCGTCATGGTGGTCGCCGCGCGGAACTCGAAGACGTCGAAGGATGCGCGTCTTCAGCAGAGCTACGCCGCGCGGCACCTCGAAGCGGAATTGTGCGCCGTCGGCGAGACCGGACTGTGGCTACACTTCATCCTCGACCAGATCGGCCAGTTTCACGGCGTCGACCTCATTCCGCCGGTCGACACCAGCACACGCGAGCGCTGGTACAAGAAGCACCTGTTCTTCGCCCGCAACGACCCCGAGCAGGGCGAACTCTCCGCTGCCAGCCACCAGCGATGGACGAGGCAGATGTGGAAGACGAACGGGGTGTTCTGCAAGCGGAACGTCCATGCCGCTCGGGCAGGCGGGGCGCAGGAGCTGGCCATCAACGGTACGCCTCGCGCCGAGATAGCCGAGCTGGGTCACTGGGCTCTCGACAAGATGACTCGAGCCTACATCACAGCCATTCCCGTCGGCGTGGTGATGAAGAAGGCCGGCTATTCGGGCTACACGCAGGACTACTTCTTGGGGCGCAGCAGGGTGGAACCGTCGGACGAGCTTCTCAAGCTCATCGCCGAGCACATCTTCCCCGGCGTCGACGAGCTCCTTAAGAATGTATGTCGATCGGTACCGACCAAGCATCGCATGGCACTGTACTTTCAACCACGGTAATTACCCACGTCTGTTGTCTAATTGCAGGCGGAAGAACTCGCGAAGAAGGGGTCCGACGCCGACGTTGCTGCCGTGCATTTCTGGCGCACCCTCCAGATGTTCCGCCGCATTGTCGCCGAGGACCTCGCTGTGAAACTCGTCCGCACGCCTTGGCACCCGTACGTCCAGTATTCCAAGCTCTGCCGGATTCCCCTCTTCCAGCACTGGGCGAAGAGGGTGGAGAAGACCGACACCGAGACCATCAAAAAGCGGCAAGACCCAACCCTCATCCAGCCAGAGGTGAGTCATCTTTATGTCGACATCGCCATGAGCACTGTGCCCGATGACAACACCTCACCTGCACCGTTTTTCGCCTACATTGCAGGAGATATCGGTCCGCCATGACGCCCAGTACGCGGTCGTCTCCCTCACAACGACGCTGAAGCTCGAGAGGGAGCGGTCAGCGGTCGAGAAGATCGACCTCGAGGAGAAGCTCGAGCAGCGCGACGCTACCATCGCGTCGATGACGGACGAGATAACCCGCCTCACCGAGGCTCTCCGCGTTTCAGAAGCTCGTAGGATGCCGGAGGCGCCGCCAGCTGCGAACGAACAATCGCCGAGCGACGGTGGCTCCGCGGAGTCGGCAAGCAGGGGTGACGGAGCCAAGAAACCCAAAAAACCCCCACAGACGGTCGAGGAGGCTAGCTACGAGCTGAACGTGGTTCAGCCTTGGCGGAATGCAACGACCGTGAGGGACGCGTGGCGCCTCTGGACCTCGTGCACCAGCGCCGACACCCGTCGTCTGTGCGACAGGTTCTTCGAGCCGGGATTCGTCGACCGCCACACCCTCCTCGACGGAGCCTCGCAGGGAGCACACGGGACGAGGGTGCGCCGCATGATGAAGGTAATCGATGCCGTGCGCCAGCTTCGCAGGAGCGACGGCGAAGCCGACACCGAAGCCGTCGTCGACGCGCTTAACACGATAGCGGCGCCTGGCATTGGGACCTTCTCGGATGCCCTCACGGTGCTCAACGCGGGCAACAAACCGACCTATGCCGGGCAGGGTAAGGGCGTCAAGGGGCTCGGCAAGACGGAATTTGCCAAGCTTCGTCTCGCCAGTGCGCTCGTGGCGCGCGGGTTCAAGCCGGAGAAGTTTGTCGCCGACCTGTTCCCGGACACATGGGAGGAGGGGATGAAGGCGGCGTTGGCCGACCTGGCCCGCGAAAACGACGCCGGGAAGCTGCCTCCGACCAAGAAGTCGACCAAGCGCAAGAAGACCGCGTGAATGCTCACAAGCAACATGCGATTGTGGGCTGTTGCATGTTGTAGATGATGTTGTTACAGCATGCATGTGTTTCGTACTTATACAGTTGTCGACTTTGAGTTTCTCACAATGCTCATGTGGTAGTTCTAACATAGTTAGTCACGTGTCGGCCTGGTATCCTTCGTGATGTGACAAGATACTGGTTCAAATGTTCATTACACATCCTACATAAAGTCGACATGCACTCACACAAGGAAACGCAAAAAACCAGCATCAAAGGGGTCCGACAGCCGAAACACACAAAACGAGATCGACCATAGCAGCATCAAATCCAAGCAACAATGAATCCAAGCTAGCAGTAGGCATAGCGCTACATATGCCCCTCCCCGACTACGCCGACTCCTTCGCCTTCTGGCCCTTCGTCCCCTTCTTCTCCGTGCCGCCCTTGGCCTTCGTCGCCTTCTTGCCCCTCTGACCCTTTCTCCCCCTGTTGTCGATATCGGCCTTCATCTGCGCGTCAATCGGCACCGCGATGCCCCTCGCTTTGAGTTTCGGCCCGGCGACGGGGCACATTCCCCAGAACGCCATCGTCTCGACCGTCGCTCTTGCGATCACGTCGGCATCGACTCCGGCATCCACCCCCGGATAGGCCATGTCAAGGGCGGTCCTCTTGAGTGCTGGCGCGACGTTGTAAGCAACCTCTCCCAGGGGGCGGTCCCTGTTGATCTCGGCGTTCAGCACCGCCTCCATGACTTTGCCGAATACATCGGCGGTCGCCTGGCTCGCTCCGCCCACAAGCGCCGCCGCCTTCCCTTCTTCCACAGCATCCTCCACCTGGGCATCGCCGTTCTCGACGAAGCACCACACAGCGCATGCGGATGCTCCTAACGCCCATGCCGCCATATCCGTCTTCTCGTCGCTGTCTCCCTCCTTTCTCGCCGCTGTCGCAGCGGTCTTCCCATACGCAGCGCACATTGACACGCGGCCAATCAACGCGGACAGCATGGACGCCGACTTCTCTCGGCCTTCCTCGGTGTCGGGATCGACTGGGTACCATATCGCTGGCAGGAGCGCGGCGTGCAGCGCATCGCCAGTGGTCTTGTAATGTCGATACTTGTCGAGGATCTCATTCAGCCTGTCACGCCAGCACAACAAACAGGGCGAACATTAGTGACCACCACAACGACATCGACTTTGGGTAGGAGGATTGCCGACTTACCGTGTCTTTGGAAGGAGCGTTCCCCGGGCCCACATCACCGTCCACATCCCGGTCGGCAAGATCCTGACCTCCTCCCACACCTCCTTCCACCTCTCCAACTCGGCGCTGTCCAGGACGGTGAGCTCGTTCATGAGCACCTTGCTCACGAAACCGTCGTAGACGACGAACGCGATGGAGTGCACGTACGCGAGCTCCATCTTCTCACGCGACTTGCCGATGTATCGATTGATGCCGTGCACCTTAATCTCGCCGACCCATCCTAGCTTGTCGCCCGAGGTATCGTGTCGGATGCCATGACCCCGCCTCTCCTTGCTCTTCCCCCTGCTCCTCCTCCTCCTCCTCCTCCTCCACCTCGACCTCCTCCTCATCGTCCTCATCCGCCTCCTCCACCTCCTCCTCCGCCTCTTCTTCTTCCTCCTGCTCGACGTCCTCCACCTCCTCGACATCCTCCTCCGCCGCCTTCCGCTTTCCCTTTCTCCCTTTCGACGAACCATCGCCGACCGCCTTCTCCTTCCCCTTTCTCCCCGTCGATGCACCTTCTCCTACCGACTTGTCCTTCCCCTTCCTCCCCGTCGACGTACCCTCGCCGAGCGACTTCTGATTCTCCCCCGCTTTCCCTTTCACCCCCGTATTGCCGCCTCCATCCTTGTCAGCCGCCGTCTCAGCCGCCTTCCCCTTCCCTCTATCCGCCGCCTTCGCCTCCGACTTCTCCCGCGTCTTCCTCTGTGAGCCCGCCTTCCCCTTCCGTTTCGCCTTTCCATCGCCGACAGCATCACCGGTCGCAGTCGGCTCTGCTGGACTGCCGACGAGACCCGCCGAAGGCTCCACATGTGCCGTGTCGGAGATGGCCAGCGGTCGGGGATTGGCAGCATCCAGGTGGGCCTGTATGGCAGCGATATCAGCATCGGGGGGCGCCTGCTCGACGGGGCCGCCGCCGGTGGCAAGGGCGGCACGAACGCCCTTCTCCGCCGCCTTCTCAACCTCAGCTGCCACAGGGGTGGGTGGTGCGACTTTTGCCGACGACGTCTTAGCGCCGGAGCCAGAAGCCTGCTGAGTTGGCGCAGTCGACGCTAGTGCGCCCAGCTGGGCGCGCAGCAACGCGGACTTTGGGTCTGCAGGAGCACGGGCGGCGACGACCGGCGACTTTGGGACACTGGCAGATGGGGCGTCGACAGCAGCGGGGGGCTGTTGAACAGCCTTGTGGCCGGCTAGGCGCCTGAGCTGCTCCTTGAGCGCGTCCGCAACTGCCGCCCCTTTCCCCGCGCGGCCAGCCTTGTCGGCAGCCGGGACGTCGGCAGAGCGCGGGACGTCGGCAGGTCGCCCGGCAGACGGTCCGGTCGGAGGGCGTGCACCAGCTGGGGGCTGGTGAGGAACCGCTGACGCCACCGCGACCCCTGTCTTCGGGCCCTGGCCAGCTGGGGCCGTTTTTGCGGCCGCCTTCTCCTTGTCGCGCAGCCCTTCTTCACCGCTACCCTGTCGTGGTGGCTTATCGGCGACCGAAGGCGGAGCCCTTGGCAGTGCGTCATCAGTGGCATGCTCGTCGGCGGGACCCCCACCACCCTGATCAGTGCTGGCCGCTCGAACCCCAGCCCAGTGCTTCTTGAGCATGTCGAGCACGCTCTTCCCCGACTGCTTCCCCGAACTGCCTTCCCCGGCTCCCTTGCTCCCATCGCCGGCGACGCGAGAACCAACCGCTCCCTTGGTCTGCCTCGCGCTCGCCGAATCGTCTCCGTCCCCCCCCCCCCTCCTTCTCCGGCCTTCTTGCTACCGTCGCCGGCGACGCGAGAACCCCCCGCTCCCTTGCTCCGCTTCGTGCTCCCCGCGTCGTCTCCGTCGCCCCCCCCGCCGCCTGCCCCCCTCTTCAGACCCTGCTTCGTGGCCTCCATAGGTTGCGCATGGCCGGCGTCGTTGGCCGACGGCGACGACCCACGCCGAGCTTGGGTCGCCACAGTGCCGACCATCTCGGTCATTATCTTCAAACCGGAGGCGAGGAAAGACTGCTGCGTGACCTCCGTCACCGCCTTCAGCAGATCCTCCTTGAATGAATTCAGGAACTCTTCCGGCAAGGCCTGCGCTGGGGTGGTCGGCGGCGGCGGCTGCACGACGAGGCGGGGAGACACGGCGGCTGCAATGTTGGTCTGCGCGGCGCCGATGTATTTTATGAACGTCTCCTCCAAAGCCTTCCTCGCCTCACCCACCTCACCCGTCACGTGGTCGGCCAATTGGTCCACCGCGGTCGCTCGAGCGACCGCCATTCGTCCGTTGGGGGCGTCAATATCCAGCAGCATCTGCCTCGCTAGCTCGGCAAACCTCTTGCCCGATTCAACTGCGTTCTCCAGGTTGCTGGTGAGGTCCTCGGTGATTGTGGCCGCCATGGTCGACGTGGCCTCTTTGAGGCGCTCCACCGATTTCCGGTCGGTGTCCGCAACCTGGGCGGTCAATGCCGTGAGCTTGTCGAGGATCCCAGCTACCGCCGCCGCCAAGCAGTCGACCCGCCCCGCCTGATCACCGAGCTGCCGTTGCAAGCGTGCATTGTCGGCACGCAATTGTCGGTTCTCCGCACGCAGCTGCTCGACGACGTCCGGCATCGCCTGCCGACCAACTGCGGTGGAACTTGGATGACCGCTCACCGCCTTCTTTTTCCTGGACCGCTCCCCCCCGGCCTTCTCTGCGGTAGCATCGGTATGCATTTCCACGCCCGTCTGCTTCGTCGCCGCGGCGAAATCCCCATCTTCGTCGGCCTCGAGGTCGACAACTTCCCTAAACCCTTCGCCGACAACGACCATCCCACTCCCCCCGTGAGCCGCCTCCTCGCCGACCTCCTTGCTGGGTTCCGCTGTCGCCCCCTTCCCCTCTCCTTCGATTTCCGCCGATCTCCCACCCGTTTCCGCCGCTCCTTCTGCAACGTTCCCCTCCGCCATTTCCACGTCCACCTCTTCGTCATGCTGCTCCTCTTGCTGCTCGTGGTGCTGCCTCTCGTGCTCCTGCTTCTTCTGCTCCTGCTGCTCCTGCTCCTCCACCGACTCCGACACCGACTCCGACTCCGACTCCGACTCCTCCGAGCCCCCCTCATCCTCACGATCCGCCTCACGACCCTGGACCCCATCATCATCCCCATGAACAACCTCGTCCCGGTGCTTCTCCTCGGTCCCGGCCACCCCATGTCCTGCTGCCGCATCGGCCTCGTCGACGCCGCTACCCGGCTTCCCGACCGAGGTGCCACGCGCATCAGCGACGGCAGGGGCGACACCGCCAGCTTGGGGCGCCGACTGAACCTCCTCGCCGTCGTCGTCACAGACGTCGGCCGCAACTACGTTTCGGCCCGACCGTATGAGCGCGACCTGCTTCTTGATGAAGGCTACCATCTCAGTCCGCAGCCCCTTCAACCCCGCAACAGCGACCTTGTCCATGCTGGTGGCACTGCGACGGAGGGCGCCGGCCAACCGATCCTTCCGCCTCACCGCCCAGAGCAACGCGCTCATTGCTAGCAGGCCGGAGCCCGCGTCCCCGTCCCGGACGGTGTCGGGCACTTTCTGCACACAACACAGGAGAGCGCTGATATGAGCACCGAGATCGGCAGTCGCATCTCGCAAGGACGAACGGCAGTTGCATCGCGCAAGGAATTGACACCAAACGTACGAAACTCACATCTCGAAGGGGTTCGTCGCAGTCGGCGAGCCTCGCATGCACCTCCTCCTCGGACGGCTTCGCCCAGTCCCATTTCCTACCTTCGCGCCGAAGCTCGGCCATTACAGCCGCCCGGAAAAACCTGCAAAGCATGGCACAGACGGTCAGTTAGCACGGTGCACGCTCCGCATTGACAACGCAAGCGGCGTCGACTACACTATTGAGCTCACTCCAGCACGCGTTTCGCCTCTTTGATGTGCCACTCCTTCACAGTCTGCGGGTCGGCGTGCCGGATCGAGGTCCTGATCAACTGGCCCGATGCCTTCAACAAGTCGCCGGGGCACAGGATGATAATGACGCTGCAATGTGTTCCCGGAAGCGGTGCGATGCTGCACAGACAATGGACGTCGACATAGATCAGAACACATAATCGACGCAGGTTGCACCACACGCGCGACGACCCCGAACACCCTCACCTCGATATCAGTGGGATAACCGCCACGTCGGCGTCAAAAACCTTCGCGAAGACGGTATGGTCGTTCTGACCCATCGCCGCCCTAAGACGGCCGACTCCTATCGACCACATCCGTTGGTCCTCCTCCGTTCCGCGCAACCATGCGTGCCTGCACGCATGCATGATCAGGAGGAGTGCGTGAGGATGTGGTCGGGACGCCGGCAGATACTACGGTTGCGGCAATAACACGACGGGTCGGGGATTCGACGAGAGCCGAATGAATATGGCACAACGCATCGCCTACGCCGACCAGACACCTTACGTCGGCGCCACCGATGTGATCGACATCCCTAATCCCTAACCCATGAGTCCGTCGACCTAAAAGACGGGTATTATGAAACCACGCTAGGGCTATCACCAGCATGAAATAACGACGCCGACATCCCCATACGTCACTCACTTGAGGCCGAGTCCCAAGCAACGGGCGTTAAACTCTAGCATAGGGTTTGTCAGAACGGCGTAGTCGTGTTCCTCGAACTTGGATGTGAGTCCTCTACCGACGCTTAGATACAGGGGGAAGTCGCGCGAGGTCGGCGTCGCTTCGTCGGCTTTCTGGTCGGCCGCCATGGCGGGAGAGCGAGGATGCTATGCTACGGGCTAAGGGAAGAAACGGTGGGAGAATGGAAGGCGCAGAGGTGGGAAAAGAACATGAAAGAGAAACGAGAACGCGAAAATGAAGGGACAGCCCACCTCCAACGAAGAAAAGCCAGGCGGAGCCTCGCAGGCCCGGTTGAGCGTCGCCCAGGGGGCCGTGGTCCCTGGCTCGGCAGGGCTCGTGCACGGGTGGCGTGGCACAAGTGCACCCTCGCCGCCGAGCCAGCAGGTCGACGTCACGTCCCCTGGCCTCGGTCGGCCAGGGGACGCAAATTCGCATGCACGCGGTGCGACGTTTCGGCACCACGTGTCGATTTCGCAGCGGGTCGCGAAAACCGTGCGCCTTGGTGCGAGAGACCCAGGACTTCGCTCGATTTTCGGCGGGTACGAAATGTCGCATGCATAGAAAATAACGATGCGAAACGACGGGAGGGCACGTGGCGTCACCGCAACGGGTCGCGAAATCGCCGAGCGTCCCGAGGGGAGCCCCCGAATTTCGCACGGGCCTCGCCTGCCCGTACGGGCAGGCCGCGATGGGTTACTAGGACCTCGCGGGCAGGAGGGACGGGTGGGCTGCCTTCGCGCCGGGGTTACTTTCCCTCGCGCGAGGTCTCGCCAGCTCGCCGCCCCCACCCGGTAACGTGGGTCGCTGTTCACTTCCGGGGGGGGGGGGGGGTTGCGGGGCGGCGGTCGTGCGCTCGGCCCAGCCCTGGGCCAGGCTGGCGGGCCCGCACGCGCGTCAGTCGCCCGCCTCGTCGGACCCCCTTCCGTCGACCCCCCTCGTCGACCCTGGCAATTCGGCTCCGTCGACCGAATTCCGCTGGGATCTTCAGAACGGGATGAGAGAGGTGGTGCGCGTGCACGAGCGCTCTTCTGGAGTTCCTTCCCTGCCGCGCACACTTGACAAAACAGCTGCGTTCAGCGGAGAGCCGTTTCAACGCAGATAACGAAAAGCCAATCAGAACCCGAAGAACTCCCAGCTAACGGCGCAGCCGTGAGCAGCGGGCTGAAGTGGAGTGTACTGACCTTTTAAGATAGCAACCCGATGGGTTTTTCTGAGTTATCCCACAGGCAGTCTGTGCCCGACTCGAGTTGAAGTGGTACAGCTGCTCCAATAAAGGGCACAGCATATGCACACAGAAACTCCAACACCCACCTCAGTGCAAGGAGGATACAGCACGTACAGCAAAGACAGAAACCACAACTAGGGTTTAGGGTTTAGGGTGATACTTACCGAATTGACAAACCGAATTGACGGACGATACTTACCTGGGGTGGTATCGGCCGGGGGTGCTACTGAAACGAGTTAGGACTGCCGATTTGCGCTGATCAGCTGGAGGAGTTCGTTACTCCCGGACAAGGCTGGTTGCCAAATGGCTTGGCCTCAGTGGTTCCTTCGAACGACCTCCTCGAAACTCTCAAGGTGGCTACTGGCGAAACCCCAACCAGCCACTCAGTTGATGGATCATTGGTTCGCAGCGCACACCGTTTGGCTCATCCATTCGCGGCTCGCTTCAAATTGCATGACGGGCCGCAGGTTTGTCCCTCAAATCAGACTCCGCTCCGCATCCGCCATCCCGCAAATCAGACGAGTCTTTTCGCAACAATTTGCAGAAAATGTGGGATGGTTTGACCCTAGTGAACGGTTCCAAAATTTGCTCGCGTGAATTATGGGTTGTGTTCCACTGCAGGGAAAGGACGTTTACAGCGAGAACTGCAGAATCTCCATAACGTTTAGATGCCACTTACGACTGTATTGGGCTGCCATGTTTGGTCGGTCGCAACGGGTGAATTCGAAAAACGGCGAGGCCCAACCAGCTTCCCCTCCCCACCCCACCTTCTCATGCATGTCACAATCAGACTTCGGTCCTCCCTCTCCCCCTATCAGCCGTCGATGCTAATACCCGTGATTCATCGGAGGGCAGTGATGACGCGATTGTGAGCTTGGCGTGCAACCACATCCATCCATCAGCAAAATGGTTGTCAGCACCTTTCCGAGTCACCCAACCGAGCTCCACTCTTACCACACACGCTCCCCCACTCTGGGGCTCAAATTCTGGGCAACGGCTGATGACTCCATCCCGCAGCTGTGTATTGAAAAGCTGGAGCTGACCTTTAGAAAGTCATTTATTCGACGCCGTCCGCAAGATATCTCCCGGTGCGGTCTGCGCTGTTAGTGTACGAGCCTACCTCGTGGCGAGCGACTAAGGGTAGTGCCGATATTATGCGACTCAGATAAACGTTTTGCACAACCTCAGGAGCCTTAGCGCCAGGCAGAAGCGGCACCACGAGCACCATGAGCACCATGAGCAAGCTCGAAAGATTACGTCCGCCAGCGCTCCAATTACCCGATGACCTCGATTCCTCCGCCGCTTCGCTCTCTCGCTCCAAGAATCCGCACCCTCTTCTACCAGCTCAGCCAGACCTCGCCCTCGCGAAGGTTCGATCGCCCGCCACAGCAGCCGCGCGCAATCCCAAGCGCATCGTGCTGCAGCGCTGCCACGTATGCAACCTGTTATCCATCCCGCCGTGTCGCACGTGCCACCTCTTCCTCCCCAGTTCGTTTCCCGCCCTAACCGCCGCTTCCGCCCACCCATCGTCTTCGCAACTCGTCTCGTCACGCCCCTCACATCTGGATCAAGGTAGTAGCAGCAGCAGCAGCGACGTCGTCGATTTCGCGGCCACGTGGCTGGATATCCGCAACTTGCCGTGTCGCATGGTGGAACTCGCCATGACTGGCTGCTCGTCCAGCTCTCCGCCTTCCCGTCATTCCATTGAAGGCAATCATTCCTTGGAGCCGCGAGGGCGTCTGAGCGGCAAGTGCGCCGAGAATTCGCTTCTTGGGGAAGGAAGCAGGGAATATGAGGCAGCGGCGCATGGGGAGTGTCGCAAGACGAGCCAAGAGCGCGCCGAGCGGGTGGACGGCTGCGCGAGCCGCCGCTGCGGGAAGCGCGTGGGAGCTTCATTCTCTGTGGGAGTGGGCGGGACAGATGCTGACGTGGACGCCGCAGGTCGAGAAGTCGCAGCAATCGCAGCAGCTGTCGTATACTCGCTCTCTGCGACATACAGTAACGGCGCCCGCGCGGCTCACGAATGAGACATCTCACCGTAGCGACGGTGAGGCTGCGACGGTGCAGGCGAGCGGAGGAGGCGCAGTCACGTCGCCCAAATGCGCGGAAGGCAAATTAACGGCTGGATCTGAGAACGCGGTCCGAAGGGACGACGGGGAAGCGACAAGCCCCATCATCTTGTGGCTAGAGGAAGCAAGAAATTTGTTTCTTGGTGAGAGTGATCCGTGGAGGAAGTTACCCCGAAATGGTTGGGGAAATGTCCATGGAAGCAGCGCAGTTGGATGCGGTGCAACGCGGTGCAGGACAGGCGTTCCGTTGAATGGTCGCACAGCACATGTGCAGTGATCCCTTCTGGAGGAGGTGTTTGAGAATTTGGGGAAAGATGGATGGAAATGAGGGGATGGATGTTCACATGTGGAGGAAGAATGCACCCACCATGTATCTCACTTTGGGTGGGAATGCAAGATGACACATATATACGCATGACACATTCATACGCATGCATGTGCAAATGCATGGTTGAAATAGAATTGTTGGGCAAACAAAGGAGGTGAAGCATAGTTGAAGGCAGCTCAATCTGCAAGCTTAGGTGAAGCGTTGCATGTGTTTTACCAGATTCGTGTTTATAGGCTCTGGAGGCACAGTTGTGTGCCTTTCACATTTTTGTATTAGCTGTTGTCTATATTGAAGCCCAATTTTGTGCATATTTATGGTAGATTGGTTTTGAACTCTTGAAATGTTTTGAGAAATACTTGGCAGAATCAGCTCAGGTGTACACCTCATTTTACTGTACGTGCATCCCTCACCCACTGTCACTCCGCTCCCCTCAGATCTGTCAACCCTCACCTCGCCAAAACCCACTGCGCCTTACCCCACCTCGCCTCACCCGATCAATTTCCCATTTCACATTCAGATTCACGTCGGCTCGGGCTGGAGCTCCCAAG